TGATCTTGCTATGTTTTATGCGTGTGGGTTAATACGGCTCTTTCGATGAATGGAAACAAAGGAATTATATTCTTCAATCTTAAAAAGTGTTGCCTTTTATGTTTTGCAATCGAATTAATCCTCTAGTAATCTAAACCTCACGGAATAATTATCCTGATTCGATTTAATGGACACTTGCGTCCCCGGTAATTAAGTGTTGTAAGCAGCAACTGTCTCAATCACCCTGTACGGTGTTCTGACATCCCTGATTTTTGCCTAAATGTTTATGGAAAACCCCACAACAGATTTAAAGCTTCTACACGACTATTCAAGGTGATCAGATTTCAATTAGGTTGTTACATAATAATACGGGTCATCAATCACCAAACCTTAATACAGGGAGTCTATAAAAGAACTCCGGGGTTTAAAAAATTAATATTTTTTAAACTATAAAAGATAGCAAAATTTAATCAATTCCTTTGAAACAAGCAGCTCAAAGAGTTTTACTCATACGAATTGGGAATGTTTCTCTCAAAGTTGGCAGCGCTGCGGAGCGTTGACCGTGAAATGACGTAACGGCTGCGGCAGGCAGTCAGTGTCGTCTGGACTAACTAACTAACGGAGCTCACATTGAACTTTACTAAGTTGTTACAAAATCTTGAAAATGTAAGCTTTCTAATCATGTATAAAACATGTATGTACATTTTTTACTGTATTAAAATATTTTGTCTTAAAACCCCGGAGTTCTTTTATAGATACCCTGTATATACAAACAAAATACTGAAATATAATGACGTAATTAAATAGTTGATAAGGTATTACGTTATATTTGGATCTTAATCACCCATAGCCTGTCTAATCTTAACCAAGAATTTGCCCCATCATTAGGTTCCATACATATTTTTTAAATTTAGGTGCACACTCCTTAAATTTATTAACGATGTGACCACAAAAATCAAAAACTATCTAAAATTACAAAATGTGCATATGTAATCTGAGTCTATGTAAAACTGAAGGCGCATATTAGGTAGGTATTCATTATCTACCTACGCCTCATTTGAAACGTGGGCATCTTTCCAATTACTCAGTTATTAAGTTATTTAAATCCCATTAATATTATCAACGATCTGTCTATTTTTAGGAAATAGTTATTTACCCCAAGTCGTACATGCATAATACATAATATCATATCTTTAATACAATTAATAATATTCGAAACAATTCAAAACATTGAATTGGGTCTCAAAATTATTGCGTGTATACGTCTTGGTGTAAGTATACAAATAATTTGGGAGTTGTAATTAGGTAATAACTTTGTCCTAAAATGTTTAATGAGGAATAAACTACGTAAACTTGGTTATTATTGTACGGTGAAAATTTGAATTGATCAGTCAGTTTCTTTGGGAAAAGGCCAGATTTATTGCTTGGAAGTAATAAATTAGGGGATTCGCCGTGTCAAGGAGAGGAAGTTCAACTGCAATTTTGATTACTTTAAATTCTACGAATAGGATTCTTCGGATTTTTCCGTTTCTTGGAATTATTTCGATACCTCTCATTGTGTCTTCTCGAATGTTTCGGATCCCTCCCAGTTGTGAACCCTTAAAGATCTTGAGAATCATCACGCCTTTGGAATCTTAATTTTCCTTCGAATTCTTCAAATTAGGACAAAGATAAACTTAATGTGAACCTTAGAATGGGCCAACCCTTAATAGTGTAGTAGTGTAAATGGGTAATATAAACTTTAAGATTATGACAAGAAAAATTAGCTTTTAATTTTTCAGCAGGATGGCGTAGTGTACATCTTGCGTTTTCAATATAAAATTATTATTGGGCATAAAACGTTTATGTTACGGTAAAAAGTTATTACCCTTTCGTGACACAGAGATCAATAATAAGCTCCCTCTCTTGACCAAAATTGTATGAACAAATTTCTTGCTCTTGTGTAATATATTAAATATCATCAAAATATTTACAGCGGTTTTATAACATCTTAACGATTTGTGGTTAAAATTGAAGACCAATTATAACGTTATAAATAAGTTGTAAACGACTGGCCCCTTTCTAAATTACCTGTGAGAGTGAAAGGTTGAAGGTTACAAAATTACTTCAAGAAAATGTTTAACAGCTAATTATAATTAAAAGCAGTAAACTAGGAAGTCAACCTCACTTTTCTTTTGGTGTACTTACCGCGAGATTATCTGATTATTAGGTATATTATCGAGATCGAAATAAATGACTGTAATTACGATTATGCCAATGGAATTGATACGTCTATCAATGAAAACATCTGAAAATTCCCACCCAATTACCAACTGCCATTATTCTGTAAAAAATTAATAATAATTCCTTCATTAAAATAATCTGTTACGGAAAACTGAAACCTGCTTTTAAAATATATCTTAGAATTGCTATGAAATCTGTAGAATCTTCAGATCGGTCAAATCCCCAAAATTTTCTCATACTCTTTATAACTAACCCGTTCTAAGAATAGTTCTTATAATCTTCGTAATATTAACACTCTTGGACTTGGCTTAGAAAAGTCTAAAATGTTAGTAGCACCTTCTTAGAATCTTTAGGGTTGACAACCCTTTTGGAGTAGGTAAAAGTTTTCTTAGAATGGTCTTAAAAATATTCAACATTTGTTGAAACTTCTCTTTGTAGAATCGTAATGTTATGTTCTTAGAACTCCAGAAGAGAGAAGAATATTCATAGAAAGTAAGTAGAATTTTCTAAATATTATTTTGGGATCTCCTGATGATGAGAATGTTCCTAGAACAATCATCTTACAATCTTCTTAGAAGATTCTCCGTATATTTTTCGAATCATCTTAGAAGCGTTTTTTAGATTATGTATAGAATCTTGAGAACTTTCAGAATACTTCGCGCTTTTTGCGCATTTTGCAAATTTTTTTGTAAAAAGGTATCTTGTAATGTCACTTTGGCCGACTGGTTGGCTGGCAGCAAATGCGGGCCTGTAGAAGAACGTTTGTAGAAAGACGAGGAGTGTACAGTACATGTACCTACCGGGGCCGGGAAATGACATTGCGGCGACATTTTCGATCGTGGTGTACTTTTCCTTTCTTCTTGTACAGTTTTGGTCGGATTGTTGTCAAATTGGTGTCGTGACGGAATTTATGTTTTTTTTTTGCTAGGGGCGAGATTAGCCGCCTTTTGCAACGCGAGATTCTTCGAGGGGTAGGGTAGTGAGCTTCGGGCGCCCAAAAGGTATCTTCCGCTGCGAATTTTGTCACATGGTTTAAAGTTTCTTAAGTAATCACGGTCTCTTTTTGATGAAAGTTTTTACGGTCTTGGTGAATAGATCTTCTTTTGGGAGCTGTAGTGTATTTGAACAGAATGCGGTTGGGTGTTTTAAGCTTAGGTAAGAATCTCCGTGTTTTGCAAAACAGTTTGTTTGGGTGGATTGTAGCTGTAAGCATTCCGGTTTCACCAAACGTCTGCTTTGTTTCTGCGAGGTCCAGATTTGGATACCCTAATTCCACAATTTTGAAAGTTGGAAGAGGTTTCCCTCAGAAGATAAAGGCTTGTGAAAAAATGTATTCTACCACACCAAAATGGGCCTGATTCGGAAGCCTTGGAGGTACGGTCACACTATCCGGTTTGGTTAGGTTCCGGACCTGAATGAATAAAGTTCTCTGGGTTTGTGTCAGATTTTTTATCAGGTGACGTTTTCTAAACGGATTTGACGGTTCATTCAACGACAATATTGTCGCTCCTTCTAAAAAATTGACAACACGACTGAAAACCTGTCCGGTTAAACCTAATGCGGCGTCAAAGACCTGATTACCTAATCGACTTGTCCGACTGCAATCAGGCGCCTGATCGGAACCCGAGAGTGTGAAAACTCCTATTCACAACAATGCACTACTGCACATCAGTTTTTCATCAGATCCGGAACCTGACCGGTGAAACCTGATAGTGTGAAAGGGGTCTAATAGAAGCCTAGTTCAACCCGAGCTGTTTGATATAATTTCGAGGTGTATAGGTGCATCAAAGTTTGTCCCCAGGATAGGTTTTTACAGAATATAGGTTGAAGAGATGATCCATGTGCTCCGTTGAGACACATAGAGCTTCAGGTGGTAACGCACGGCCACGGCACTAACTGCACTCCTTTTTAGGGAATTTTTGCAAATTTATTTGTAAAAAGGCAGCTTTTAATCTCGCTTTTGCTGGCTGGATGACCGGCTGGCTTGATGGCTGGTCGGCTCGCTGGCTGGCAGTAAATGCGAGCCCGTAGAAAGACGAGGAGTGTATATGTACCTACAAGGACCGTGTAATTAATTTAGGGACGGGTCTACATGATGTGGGGTGGGCGAGATCTAGGCGTCACCCCCGAGCGTTTTATACCCAAAATTACAGCCGATTACGGGAATAACATAATTCTCACATGTAAATAATTGATTGCCATTTAATTAGACTGTAATTAAGGACACAGTTCAGTATCGTAATAATACAACCCCATTCATTTAATCTTAATCAAATAGTAGGCGCACACATCGTGTCAACGACTTGGAGAAAGTGCTTCATTATCCAACCGAAGAATCAATAAAGAAGTTGCATTTCGGAAGCGAAGTGACTTTCACTATGTGGCGCTTGAATGCAAACGACATTACCAGAAGGTAATAAACTTCCACCGGTTTACAAATGTCCATTTAAACCTTGCACGCTTTAACGTATAGTGGCAAATGGCAATTCCGTTTCTCAAAGAAAAAATGTGTGGTAATGTTTACATTTTTTAGGTACTTGAAAATTAACGGATAATATATTCCAATGACATCAAGATTGGCCCAAATTAATGTCACTCAAACCTGTCCTTTGTAAGATTTAGCGTGATACAAAGCACTTGACGCACGATATTAATTAAACAATGGGGTTCGTGTAAATAACTGCCCAACAATGTGTCTTTCTACCTTCTCTCTTTTTAAGGTAATTACCTACTATGTGGAGCACTTAAAAATCAATTTGAACACCCTACTCTCTTTATAGATGCATTTCTGAGCTTGCAGTAGCTCACTACTCGTTCGTCACAATCAATGAACAAGACGTCCTTCTGCTGCTGATATAGTAACATCATCGCGCAGTTTCTTGTGGTAACGATATTTAATATCGTCAAGTGAGGTTAGATTAGACAGTATCGCCCCAACTTTCTAGCAATAATGGATCGGTTTCAATTAGTGATAGTGGTTTTTTCAACAATTTTTAAACTGACTTCCTGCGCCGATCCACCGGGTGGTTACTACCAAACGAAGTACGACGCCTTAGACGTCGAGGAGATTTTAAATAATAAAAGATTAGTGATCCATTACGTTAATTGTTTATTAGATAGAGGAGCATGTCCTCCGCAAGGAGCCGATTTAAAACGTGAGTATTTTAAATTGGTGAAAGTACAAAATGTTTGTCCATTTAATTTTGATGTTACTTCCGTTTTGACTGTGTCACGCTGAGGTGAATATTAAACGGAAGAGACGCTTCATAGAAATGTTATGTCATAATTCATTGTTTTAAATTAGTTGGGGTACGTAATTTTTCGTACTGCCCTAAGATGGAACAATAGTAGCATTTTTCTCATTCCAAAGATTTTTTCTTCGCCATTATCGTGTATTTTTCCTAATAATGGGGGGTTTCCTTGTCAAATCTAAGTAATTAATCAAAATTGTATTTTAACGGTTTTTTTACGTACCTAACCTTACTAATTATTAATGCAATGTTTTCATTATGCAAAGGATGCAGTGCGGTTTTTTTAACTTTCAACCCGGTACAGACAATTGTAGAACCACGACTAGGGTGGTTTAGAGATGTGACCATCTGGTATGGTTTGAATACGTCCGCAGTAGTAATTTTGGATTAACAAAAGTGCAATAATACTACACTTAATTTTATTCATGACTTCGTTAGCCACGATTAGGTGCCCCTACATCCGTGTAGAATTCCAGAAAATGTGCAATAAAGCGTTAAATTCTTAATTTTTCCATGTCTTTAGGGCATTTTGGCAAAAAAAAGGTGCTTTGTCGCCTAGAAAAAGAAGTATTTTTTATCATTCAAAAACGCACACAGGTTTCATTTCAAGACTAATCCTAATTAGATTCAGGTCTTGAGTTTTTTGAAGATTGTAATTTATTATGTAACTCAAATCGACAGACTTGGTAATTTGCGGTGTACTTAGAACTCGGGGTAATTATAATATTAAATTGGTTAATTTCCTACAAAAAAACTGGTCCCTCCTGAGAAATCAATTTTCTTTGTTTGCCATAATATTCATTGCCGTATATCCGAATGGAAAATTCGGTTCGTAGGGTTGTGGAAGTACTTCCAAGTTGATAATGGATCTTATGGCTTGCTTTTTGGGGACAGGTTTAATAGACAACGATCACTTATAATAATATGCAGTTGGTTTTTTGGATATTTCCGTTTTCGTTTTCCTTAGGTAGGAGCATACTTTTTGCAACATTTCAGATACTATGTATTGAAATTGAAATGAAGGTTATACTATAAAAACAAGGTGCTATACCTGCAAAATTCTAATTGTATAATAGGTACCTATTTCAGACCATTAGTTGTAATAATCGAATGAGCGCATTACGTAACCTTACAAATTCGGTTTTTTAAGTAAATTTCGTTGCAGCTCTAATTGAGGCTAATGCACTCACTCACTTGGTGTTGTTGTCGCCTTATTAGAAAGGGTAAAAGTGTTTAAGTAGTTAACGGATTGCGTTGAAATTTTAATTGTTCTTTTTTCACCTGTTTCTTAAAATTTGAAGCAATATGCCGAATAGTGGGTTTTTAGGTATGCAATTAGAGTAAGTGAGGAAACGTTTATGAAATTACATGGAAATAAGGTACAGTAGTTCGCATTATATGCATACTGAATATATGTGAACACCATTTGAGATGATTGCATATAAGCCTAGTAAGTAGGTGCTAATCGAAATTAATTTTCTTATATACTATCGCGATTCTGCAGCATTGCTATGACACTTTTCTATAACTATTTCTATGTATGTGTTTCTAGGACGCGATTATTATTTGATGGAAAGCAGGTCAAGTAACGTGGTAAATTAATGTGCTTCAAACCAGAACTGAGGATGAATTAATACAAACAGACCTGAAGTTTGATTTTCAGTTTTTGGTAAAATGCTGTTAAAGGGCTTCGGACTTAACCCAATTAAAAAATTCAATGTAAAACATGATTTAATTCTTTTGACATAAACAAAATGAACGTAGGAGAAAAAAAAGGTGTCTAGTCTAGGCACTGTATCAGAAATTAGTTTTTGAGTCCTTTGGTTAATTTTCTCAAATTTAATCCTTGTAAAAGAAATTGTAAAAAAGCCCATTTTTAAAAGCGATTTCATTTTTTTTCAAAAAATTAGGGTGGCAGGTATGCGCTAAGTATGAATTAATTCAAACGGAAGTTTGTTTTTGAATCTTTTCGTGAAATTCTCTCAAAAGGAAGGATGTCTTAATCCTCTTAAGAAGTAATTCTGAACTGTAAAAATATTAAACTTTAAAAATATTTTAATTAAAAAAAATGGGAGTCTTTTTTCATGTATAGGTAAATAGCTGTCTATGGTCTAAGTATGAGTTAATTCAAATAGAAATTAAATCCCGCCTTTGAATATTTTTGATAAAAATTCTCTCAAAAAGCTTATGACACCCTTTTTAAAAAATAAATCGCAATAAATCCAATTTTAAAAATCATTTAATCCTTTTTACAAAATTGAGGCGCGCGAATTTTGTATAAATATCGGCCCATGCGCTGAATATAAATTAAATTAATGTTTTATTTTTAAATCTTGGTTAAATTCTTTCAATTCTTTCAAAAAGAAATTTTGAATTGAAGGTGGAAGAATTTTTACCATTAATTTGTGGTTTTTTTTTAGTCAAATTCTCTGAGAGGAAAAGGTAAAACCGAGGGTAATACTGAATTGTAAGCATTAAAATTCTACAAATTCTAGATTTAGTTCGTTTCAAAATTAAGGTGGGAGGTTTTTTGCTATTCATAAATACCTGTTTAGGCGCTGAGATGAATGAATTAATTCAAACAGAAATTATTTTGGTGTTTTGGGCCTTTTGGAAAGATTCTCTCAAAGCGTTCATGTAGACTTAATAAATGTTTTACCTCTTTCATAAATAATAGCTATGCACCTAGTTAAAGTTCTCTCCCAGGTTTTACATGCTGAATAGGTACTGAATTGTAAAAAGACCAATTTTTAAAATAATTTAATTCTTTCCCAAAAATAAAGGTGGGGGAATTTTTTCCATGCGTTAAAATAGCTGCCTATGCGCTGAGCAGCATTAATTTATCGTTTTAAATCTTTTGGTAAAATCCTCTCAAAAGGCTCATGGCAACCCTCAAAGTATTTATATGGTTTTGTTTATTTGGTAAAATTCTCTAAAGCACTCAGGACTTAAAAATTATTCTGAATTGTAAAGAATCCAATGCTTTAATTCTTTTCAAAAAGATGTAGGAGGTGAATTTTTGCCATCCACTAATAGATGTCTATGGGAATATGAATTATTTCAAACAGAAATTAGTTAGTGGTATTGAATCTATCTGGTAAAATTCTCTAATTCTGAATTACAAAAAAACCTACTTGTTACATAACTTAATTAAAAAAATAATAAGGTGCTATTTACGAACTGAGTATGAATTAATTGAAACAGATTTACTAATAGTCTTGAACCTTTTGGTGAGATTCTTTCAAGGGGCTTACGATTTAACCTTTTTGAAAAATCGAATTAAAATTGCCATATACCTCTACTTTCAAAAATTATTCTTTCTTTCAGAAAAATTCATGTGCCGAGTATAAAAAAGAACCTAATTTGTGGTTTTGAACCTTTTGGTAAAATTCTTTCAAAGGGTTCGTGCCATTTTAAAAGTAATTCTGAAATCTAAAAAAGCCAATTTTAAAAACGGTCTAACAAATTTAAACATGATTTAAATCTTTTAAAATAATTAATTTAAGAAATTAATTTGTGGTTTGCATTTAAGTAAAATTCTCTAAAAGAGCTTATGACTTAATTCTTTTATAAAGTAATTCTAAATGGTTAAAAAATCTAAAATCCTATTTTGTAAAACGATTTAATTATTTTCAAAGATTAAGATGGGCGATTTCTTTTCAACCATACAAAGATGATCTATTATCTAATGCACGTGACAGCACAAGTTTTTTGGATATCTCAGAAGCTAGCAATGATTGTCGTGTTTTGACTTTTCACTAATTTCACTATCAAAATCAAAATCGTTACACAGTGGTTATTGTTCGGCAACGACTTTCTTTATTCTGTATGTCATATAACATCAGTGATGCGGAATATAGCTGTCGTTCAAAATCAAATCGTTACCATTACGATATCGTTTGTTAACGACAATATACAGAATAGGCCTCTTAGTCCAGTGAATAGGGACAAAAGACTCTGCGTTGAGGGGCATCCTATCACAACTATGAATTGACCTATTGTTTCGGCACCGACGTTGTATGATAGGAAAGCATAAATTACTAAAATAAATAATTTGCCAAGACCGGGTAAAAGAAATAGTTATGTTCCTTCCATTTATCGTTATAATTGAGACTATTGCCCTCAGAAAATTTCAACCAATCATATTAATGCATATTACGGAAATCACCTAGCAACAGACAAATATCCTCGAGTATTCATGCACTTGTGCAATACCCGCGGGTATTGCTTATGTGTAAATACCTAAAATGAAACTTAAATAAATAATTCCAAATTTTATTAACGAAAATTACAATTTGTAAAATGGCAATTTGTAACTCAACCCATGCTTATTTTCGGTTTCATGATGCTTTTTGAAAAACCATGTCTTTGAAAGGATCGAAACAAACATTATATTCTTCTTATCTTGCAAAATTTTTGTCGGGCAATAGTCATCCCGTATATCCCTCGTGCACGCCAAATAGCAGATCTGAGTATATTCAGGTATTTGGCGTGCACTTGGGATATAATACTTGAATATCGCCCTACACCGCTATCTTGTTTTCGTTTTATTCAAGTTATTTTGTTAATCACATTTACAGAACTGACCTACCTTCCCCGAGGCGACTTTTTTTATGGCATCGGAAAAATGTTACCTATCGAATTGCAAGTATTTAGAGCGAAGGATATCCACCTTCCTTGATAATATTTCTTGTTTGTGTAGTTACTGCGTTACCCTCAAAACAACTCAGCAGGTGAGGGCGGATCCCAATAATTTCATGTATTGTGTTCTAATGCAAATGTGGGCTTATTGTTCACGATAAGGCATTTCTAATAGGCACTCCCCTTGTTGGTGAACGTGAATTGTACCTAAGTAGGTGGGTGCATCAGTTTCTGACATTTTCCGATTTTTCATTAAGTTACAAGGATGTGAAGGATGTATGAGCGTAATTATCTTAACATAGTCCCTACGGAAACAATGTCTCCAGGGAATGTTGCTCTCGCCAGAACATGCAATTTAGGAAAGTCATTCACAGAAACATCGCCAATGTATTTGTATTATCCCATAGATTAACTTTAAGACTGCATTTCATTCTCTTCAGAAGACAAATTTGCTTTCAGATACACTTGTTTTGAGGGTTGACGCCTTAGGGGAGAGTTCATCGGATATCAGTTTCAGTTTCCTTCTTTTGGAACGAATGGAAAAAAAGAAACCATTGTGCTCTGTAAAACAGTTACGTTTCATTTCATCGAAGAGTCATATCCATTTAGTAATAATGATAATTGATGCTAATCATATGTATATATTTGTGTGTGTCTTAAAATGCAAAAAAGTTCGCGTTTACGGAGATTACACTTTACGCATTATGGATAATTTTGTAAACATGTAAATGCAATAAATTTTTATGACTACCATGTTTACCAGGAATGATACGCTGCGCTGGTTAGATATGAAATTATATACTTACGTACCTACCTATATACGAAATATGTAGGTTATGGCCGTTTCCACCATAACTTTAAGCAGAGTTGCTTATTATCCATGGAAACCATGGTCCCGACGGACAAATCAACGCAATGGATTTTAAGTTCAAGAGTGGCTTAAAGTTAACAGTGCAAACGGCCCTGATAGACTTTTACGTTTCATTCATTCAAATGGATAAATAGGTCAGAAACTGGACAGTTTTTGATAGGGAAAGAAATATTAGTTCTTGTTTTTTGCCGTAGTTATACTCGGAAAGCGTTGCGAAATTCACTTATCCTCCTTGCGATGGGCCAGAGAAGGTAATTTTAGGAAAAAATCCGTGCCAAGAACGAGGGTTCCGTTTTGACGTGAAACGTTACATATGTATACGGACTGTGACAATGAAGGATGCAAACGATTCGGTAGTAGATGGGACCAAAATAAACGTGTTTTAAACCATTCTAGGATCAGAAATGCTTCGTTTAGTTAGAAACTACGTCCCCAACATTTTCGTTCTCTAGTTCGTTCCTCATCAATTGTTTTCTCAGCAAAGTTATAGCACATAAAGAGTTGGAGCCTACAACACCAGATAAAAATAAAAAGCAAATACGAAAATTTCGGTTTTTCTGTCATATCTTCGGAAGTAATCGGAATTTTCTTGTTTTCTTTACGGCATAACAATTACTCTGTAATTGCGCAACTTTTCCGCATGATAGAAATCCTTATCTTGGAGACAGTGTATATCGACACCTTTTTATAAATAAATCAATAATTTTACTTTTTTTTACTTATTTTAATATTAAAAAGCTCTCTTTCTGTTACTAAAAATTTTGATGCAAGAGTGCCTCTCTTACGGACATCATTGCGTCGCCTTTTTTCGTACACTTTGTCCAAAAAACCAATTTCGTTCCGCAATATTAATTTCACTTTCTCTTCCCCTTTTGAACTTGAGGCCTAAAATTATCCCACCGTCTGGGGGGAAAATAAAAAAATCAGTACCTAGTGAAGATCACCATAAGCTCAGCTCTCATTCTCTCATTTTCAATATTTCTGAAAGAGAGATTTGCATTTCGGTTAAATCGCACGACCAGTAATAAGTTCGTTGATACTAAGACAGTGAAACTGTCTACTTTCTGATTTTAGGGGGCATATTTGTAAATATAAAAACACGCTCTATTTGAAAGTTCCTTTAGTGCGGTTGTAGCATACCTGGCCTGTAAATAAATCTTTGAATAGCTGCCTTATGTCTGCGATACGACTTTTATTTGAACAATTTTGGGAACTATTTAATTTTCCCTTGCAACTAACCGAATAGTACAATCGCTTCTGATTTGTCAAAAGATTTCGCTTAACCGGCAATGGAAAACACTACTGTTATTCGTGCCTTTTTTCCACCATTTTTTATACGCACCACATCATCTAATGGATACAATAATATTATTATCTTACGCGTTGGCAGAACTTAAATCATATAATCGCTGTACTAATTAAAGCGAAATTTGGTAACCTTGGTACGGATGGACGAGCAAAAATCGTAAGTGCTATGAACTCCCCTATTTCCCGCGCGAAGTTGCATTTGCATTGATCTGTACTGAATGGCCAAGTTGCATAAAACCAACGGACACTTACATAATTTCACGCTTTCATTTTTATTGACCATCAGTGCTTTTGTAAACAATTGAGAGAAATCCATAAACGTTTACTCCACGCCCCCACAATAAAAATACGAATATAAAACAATTCAATTGATCAAACGTTTGCGACACACCATAGTAATATTGTTTTTAATTGCAGAAATTCTACCAGAGGCTCTCGAAACAAATTGCCTAAGATGCACGGAGAAGCAAAAAGAAATTATAGTACGAACTGTTCGACGCCTACGGGCGGAATACCCAATTTTGTGGAGCGAATTGGTCTCAGAGTACGATCCCAACGGGGAATACTTCGTACGATTTGTATTAACTTTGGATCCAACGGTTCAAGTCGAGGACCAGTCTAACTTGTTGAGCAATCGATTTGGGGATGAGAATTTCCCGAGCGACTTATTCCCAACAACGCGAAAGCCAACTTCACCACCAACTACAACGAAGAAAACCAGACGTACCTATCATCCGACAAGATCACCCACCCCTCGTCCTACAATGCCAATATCAAAGTCTACGCCTAGAACTACCGAACCGGCATTGACGAGAACTGAAGAAGACGACCTACTATCGAATATATTTACAACAGCACCGCCACTGTTTAACAGATTCGACTCTGAAACCACTACACCAACCCAGACATCAGATAAACCATCAACGTACCCACCAAGTCGGGCGCCAGAGATACCCACCACCGCTACCACAACCACTACCACTACCACCACCACGACAAAGCCGTCAACAACAACAACCCAACCTCCCCTTATCTTCGGGTGGCGTCCGGTGGCATACGGTCCTAGTCCACAAGCGCCAAGACCCCCCACCCCTTTGGTTCAGAGCAGTGTACAGCTTCTGTCATCGTTAGGCCAAATCGGCACGCGAGTGATTGAGGCAGGATCACAAGTTGCCGGAATGGTACTAAACGCATTTGTGGGTAACAATTAATACAAGGAGTCTTCATTTACAAAGATGGTTTTACAGTTTCGTGCCAAACGTGTCATCCATTATCATTAAATGTAGGTATAGTCAACGGCACATGTGATAGCTGAGTGAACAGTAAATTTGGGAATTTTCAAGAGATTTCCAAATAGCTTTTAAAGTCGTAATCGACACACTACCTGATTTATTTCAATCGTTCTAGATTTTATGGATAGTCTAACCTACTTAGACTAGTACTGCATAACTAACAAATAACACTGCAAGTGTTCCATATACATAAAATTAGTGCATTCAGTCTGAAGTTCAATGTAACAGTAATCAGACTAGTAAGTGAATGTAAAGTGGTTTTTGATGGGAGTACCTAAATTAATTCATCAACTAAGTATAGGATGGCTGACGTACTGATTATGTCTGTATTTTAGTGAGATTTTTATATTTTTAATACTTTGATAGTGAATATTCGTGTTATGTTAGTAAAACTAATAAATTTTGCAAAGTTTTTATTATATTTTGGCAACGCGAAGGGGGTATGCTAGCGGGATTGGTATAAAATAGGCAGCACTTTAAAATAAAAGGTATTTGAGCAACGGACGTACGGCGAAAGTATCTCCAACAGTTACATGCCCCATTTCTGGAATAGTGCACTAAAATTATGTTACTGTTTATCCAGCTACTAAGGTTTTTTATCTACAAAGGTCATATTGATTTTTCCGTTGATGCTAATAGCTAAAGGTGATCAGGTTATAATTCTAGTCGTAGGTCGGGTTTATAAAATAATGTAGATATAATGATGAGAAAAGCCTGGATCTGATTTCTGTGCAATTGAAAACATATCTGCAACATTCTGTGGTGGAGAATATTTTTGCAAAATGAGAGTATTTTAGTACGTATAATTAGATATACCTTTAACATCAAAAGGCACTTTAAGGTGCTTTGAGGTTTAGTTCTGAACGCAAAATGAAAAACACTGGCTAATTTGACCCTTCTTGAGTACTTTTTAAGTTCAGATAACAGTAGTCGACCTCAAATAAACCTCTCGCCAGGAAAGATTGCCGGTCACAGAAGACCTGATCCCGGTCTACAATCTGTGTTTTTCTAAAGATGTGAGCGACTTCCGGGATAGGATCGTGCCAATGTTGAACGAAAAGTCTTTTCATTCAACATTGGCACGATCCTATTCCGGAAGTCGCTCGTATCTTAAAAAAACATAGATTGTAAATTGACACAAGGTGTGCCTTGACCGGCAATCTTTCCTGGCGACAGTTGTATTCTAATCGTGTTTTCACAACCATGGAGCTGAGTAGAGTAAAAAATGATCCAATCATTAGCAATCAATATCCCCCTTCCCATTAATGGGGGTTCCAGAGGAGCAGAAAACCGTGGCGGCATGCCAAAGAGTGAAAAAGCATATTATGTGCCAATTTTTATAGCTTTACTAGAAATGCGAACTTTATCTCACTTCTGGACCTGAGACTATTAGACGCAAACACTATTTGCCAGTAGAAATGAAGTAGAAACGTATGACTTTAAGTTATACCTTTCGCAGAAAAATGGGCTTCGGATTTTATTCACAGTTTCTTTACGGATTAGGCTCCCACTGATAACCACAGCCTTTAGTCTTTAAGACCCTTTAATAAGCTTTCGATGATTTTCACAGAGTTGCAGCATCTAAGAGGAGTCCTTCAGTGCTTTTAATTAGCTTTGAATGATTTACAAAGCCATTTAGCTTTAGGAGTCCATAGGTGTATCTCATATCTGAGGTCTTTGACAGCCTTATAAGGACCTTAAGAAGGATGTCGAAAACTTTTCCATGAGGGTTTTAGAACCCTCATTGGAAAGCCCCCATTTGAAAGCCGAACTTTGAGTGGCCTTTAGCACCAATAATAGATTTTTATTAATCATTTAAGATTTTTATGAAAGCTATTACATCTTTAACACCTCTTATGAATCACCTACAGTCTCGAAGAGTATCAAGAGGCTCTAGAATGCTTCTAGTGTTTCAGAACCCTTGAGACTCTTAAAGAGTTGGGCTATTAACAGATTTTATATAAGACGATTCGTATACTCATATACTTAAATGAAATCTTTGTGTGCTGGGCGGTTTCGCTCGGGGTTTCCAGATCCAGCGGTGGTACGTTCGATGGTGTTTTACCAAAAACTGGAATGAGAGTGATCAGGCAGACCGGTTTGGACGAGGATGCAACACCGGGGAGTCTGGGCCCTGTCCGCTGAGGTCGAAGTTTATAAGTATCTTCAGTTGATGCTACGGAGAGAAATATCCAAGTGATCTCTCATACATAAAACACAGCTGTGATAATGATCCCTAGCTCAGCAGCGTATCTGGCTATTCGTAGTCGGGGTGTTTCGGTCTGTCCCTGGTGGGTTCGTTGAAGCATGTCGAGTTCATGGGAGTCCGGCGTTGAAGGAATTGCTATCCCGTACTTTAGGATTCTTCTTCTGGTAGCAAGGGGAGTTCTCCTACCTCTACTAGTAAGCTTTTAACTTGGCTCGTTCTGTATGCTCCTAGACAAATGCGGTAGGCGGAATTCACAATCGGATGAAGAGTGTTCAGGAGTGATTCGCAGAATCATATATTATAGAATCATAATCAAGCTTGGACCCCCCCCCCCCCCCCCCCCCCAGCATGAAATCGAGAGGTCGTGCTCGTAGAGGGAATTTGAATTCTGAGAGAATGGTTGATAGTTACGATGAACAAAATGACGCTGATAACAGATCTCTGGGGTAGCCCGTTAATAGAGACTAGTGCGGACAAGCTTCCATTGTTTCTCACTCTCATGTGTGGGCGGTTAAGGAAGTTCGAAAATTTGAGTGATATCATGATCTTGATGACTTGAGTGGTCCAGGTTGTTTCGTAGACTTTTTCTATATCCAGAGAGACCAAGAAGAGGTGCGCGTGGTTAGCAAGGGCACTACTCACACCCGCTCCTATGTCGGCTAGGTGGTCAGTTGTTGATCTGAAGCTGCGAGAACCGAACTGATGGGGTGCTATCAGATCTTCCTTTCCTGGGCGCCATCCGAGGCGCCGCGCCGGCAAACCATTCTTTCCCGAACCTTACACAGACGGCTGTCGAGGCAACGGAAAACGTGTATACCTATAGTGCGTTTTGCAGTGACCTTTCAGTACAGGCTCCTATGGAAAACAGTGATGCCATACATGTAAACGTCAGTATGCACTATATAGCAGTGCTACCCATACGCTATGATACGATACCACTACGTCTACATTAGATTACCGCATTATACTTTTCCCAAGAAAAGCGACTACGTTGAAGAGATATTTTCTCAGATTTTTGGAAAAACGTTAAATTATTTGTAGACATTTTTGAGGAATAATGCATCTAAATTGCAAATAATCCGCTTGGGCTCGAGCAAATGAGCTACTATGGGATCTCGAACTTCATTTGGTTAATTCTGTGTTACCTTTTACACCGTGAGAAAAATTTATTTGGTACCTACGTTACATTTAAATACACCAAAAGAAATACAAAACTAGAACACTTTATCAACTGGAATGGATCATACCACCTACACCTCACACACAGTGCAGCTTTCTTGTTCGTTTTTCACCGCTTCATAACATTGCGAATGTAGTATGTGCCCGCACGGCAATACGTGAAGTGTTTTACGTGTGGTGTGTAAGTTTTCGGCACAAACCGGACAGTTCCCGGCGGCACAATCCGTCACGCACTAAAATTGAGTAGAGACGATGAGACAATAACAATTGTAGGGATACCTACCTTATGGTTATCCATCAATGTACGTGCCAAGCACATGTTGCATTCCGTACAATGAAAGTAATTGTTTTGACCCCCCACACGGCACAGCCCGCACTTATCGCAGTGGAACTGCCCTTTCCAATAATCGTCGAAAATGAAGCACAGAAGACACGCGTACTGAAATCCGTAAAGTTACATTATTGGCTTAGGAAAACTTCTTAAAAACCTTTCCGAACGAAGCACGACAAGAGTCACATTGCTTTTTCGCGTCCTGAAGGGTATTGCAAGCGATGCACAGCAGCTTACTGATGCTTGTACGAATTAAAGCGTGATCCTCACTCTCATCGTGACAGACGTGGCAAGGGTATACGTTGTTACAACACGGGGCCTATGAAATAATTATTAGGTATCGACATAACTTGCGGAAAGAACATACCATAATTCGACAATGCCGTTTGTAGTGTTCGCAGCCTGACTGCCAAAATTGGGAAGTTGCAGCTTCCGCCATGTTTGTAAATTGGAAAACACCTAAAACATTCTGGATGTGACGCGGGCATGAAAAGCATCAAGTTCGAAAAAGAATTAAACCATTGAATGTAGGGTTTTTATTCAATAATTAAACTCACCCTGATGAGACGAAATTAAGACGCCAAAAATAATTCACCTGACAGCTTGTTTAAGTAAGTATGCAGCATTCATATTTTTCAAAGCTTGCTTGATTAGTGGTCTAAGCGGCATGTCTGCAGGTGAAATTTAACAACGGCAGAGTTTTTCTTTAATTTTTACAGGCGGCCATGCATCTATTACGTGTTTGAATCATAATCTCTTTTTTAGCGCATTTTTGCAAATTTATTTGTATAACGGTAGCTTTTAATCTCTGGCGGGCAGGAAATGCGGGCCCCTATAGGAACGCTGTAGAAAGACGGAGCCGTGTAATTAACAACTAGATAAGGGTACATGGGTTGGGCGCCATCCCCGAGCGTGGTGTGTTAACGTGGAGATTTTTCAGTTTTTTCCTACCTTCTTCTACAGTTTTGGTCCGAGTATTTGTAAATTGTTATCGTCGGAAAGATCTTGTAAACGCGAACAACTCCCGCGTGACGGAATTTTGTTATTTTTTCCTATTAGGGGCAAAATTACCCACCTTTTGCAAGGCGCGCGTCTTCAAGAGGTAATCGACTTTGAGCGCCCAAAAGTTGTTAGAACTCGGTTACAGAAGCGCAAGATATGATAAGTACCTCCCCCCAAATCGACCAACGAATTGCGGGTGAACGGGACGTCTGAAGCGAGTACCGACAAAGGGAATGCGGTATCCTTCGACAAGTTCTTACTAATACTGAAGTCAAAACTTCAAACGCCAATTGCGGGTGAATGGAACGTCGGAAGTGGGTATTGACAAAAATTGTCAAAACTTTAAACGCGCATTCCGGGTGAACCAGAAGTCAGAAGTGGGTGGAGACAAAGGGAATATGATAATCTTCGAAAAGATCATAATGATGGCGGAGTCATAACTGGCTAATAGAATACCAATCTGCCACACAAAAATGCGCTGAAGTCTCTTCGATCTCACACGAGGACTTTCATAATTTAGCCCCACAAAAGGGCGTTTAAAGTACGCCGAACTTTCGTAAGTAATGTTACTTCAAATATGACATATGAAACTATAATCTAGAAAAAATTCTCTCAGATGGCTTTCTGCAAATGCAACAGATGTCTTTGGATGATACCCTTTATTGGAAGTTTTCGCAAACGCACGTGGTTTAAAGTATTGACTGAAGTTTTGAATGAATGCACCAAAGGGTACAAGATTTTGACATTTCCTTCATATATGCCAGCATTAACGATGCATTTAAGTCTTTATTTAAAAGATGCTTCCTATTTATCCACGCCAACAACCTTTCATATTCTTTATAATAGGTTTTTGCATTTGGATTTTACACCTACCAACTTTTCTTCTACTTTTGCAACAAGCCGCTTAATGGACGGTGTATTATCACCTTCAATCGAAGTCATTTTAGTTACAACGACGGTGACTTTTATCGCACTTAATTAGAAATGTATTCTAGTATAACGTCAATATGATTTCATTTTATTTCCCTTATTTTTAAATTAGATTGCAGGTATAATAAAAAATACTATAAGAAAGGCGTGTATAATTGGTTCCGCTAAGCGTTGTGGCTTTAAACTCGTTGTGCGTACTTTAAACACTTGATTATACACTTGTTTCGTAGTATACTACCTTAATCTTTTAACTTGCGTTATCTCTCTAAGATTTTTATTTCCATAATATGAGTTTGAGTCACCTCATTGTTTGTCCTTACTGATCGTGATGGCGAACGAAAGTCAACGTGAGTATATTTCACACATTCACTTTATATTGGCGAATCGATTTCAGATCATCGTAACGTAATCTACACGGATAATAAACCTGCACGTCCAGATCATAGAGGAATAGGCTACGTATATTACCACTCCATGTTAAAAAATGGGGAAAAAATCGCACAGGTTTCTCATTGGCGTATTTTCGTTTTACATGTTTCTATTTTAGATCGATGGAAATACGGGTGTGGAAGAAAGCTACGGTCAATTGTTAACGAGGTGTATTCGAACTGCAATTACAATGCAGATTAAGGGTATTAGACCTGGGGATTTTATTTCCATATGTTCCCCAAATGACGTAGATTGTGTCGTGCCGTATATCGCGTCACTTTTCATAGGAGCGATATCGGCTTCAATATGCGAAGAGATGTCAGTGGAAGAAAACCTTTATTTACTAGAACAAGTTAATCCAAAAATGATATTCGTATCCAAAGGAGCGGTTGAGTTGATTGAAAAAATTTCGGAAAGGTTGAAGGATCACCCAGTTATTGTAGTCTTCGGTGCGACAAACAAGCACACTGCTTTCGATGAATTTTTGGTCAAACGCAGCCAAGAAGATCAATTTCGCCCTCGAGAAGTGGATAGCCTTACTGAGACGGCCATAGTTGGTTTTAGTAGTGGTTCGACGGGTAGACCAAAAGGAATTTGTCATACCCATTACTCTATGCTCTCCAACTTCACATTGTCGTAAGTACCAACAGCTCTACTGAATTCATTGAGAAAATCACTTTTTAGTGATCGAAAGGAAAATCTACGAATTGCGGTATTTTTCTCGTCCTACTGGACACTCTTCCACGTCTTCGTGCATGAAACGTTAACAAACGGTTTCATCAGAATCGTCTTTTCGGGCTTCGACACGATGAATCCGTGGCCGATACTCAACTATCATATAGACTATGCCCTTTTAGGCCCGAACGAATGTATGGCTTTTACAAGAACCGAAAAGCCGCCATTCGCTGACCCATCCAATTTAAAGGAACTAGCCATCGGTGGCAATTCCATAAGCAATGATCAAATCGCAAAAGTGCAATCTGTATTTCCGGATGCGTTCATTCACAGTACATACGGTCAAACGGAAGTATTCGAGGTGATCTTTAACTTTCCATCTAGAAGTCTTGCCAGGAGGTATACAAATTCCGTCGGCCTTCCTATCGCCGGTTTTCATTACAAAGTAAAATTTGTCAGTCACGGTTTTGATCTACATACGAACGATTTCAGGTGGTAGACTTAAACACCGAAGAAATTTTAGGGCCAAATCGGGAAGGCGAGCTGAGGCTACGGTCGGCGTGTCAAACTTCGGGCTACTACAATCGCGACTCGTCAGAGATGTTCGACTCGGAAGGTTGGCTCAAGACGGGTGACTTGGTGTACTATAATGAGGAGCGGTGTTTCTTCGTCACTGGCAGAATTAAAGAAAGTTTCAAGTACCTACATCACCATATTAGTCCAGTGGAGGTCGAGAGCGTACTTTTGGACCATCCGTCGGTCGGAAGGGCGATTGTTCTGGGGCGTCCCCATGAGACGGATGATAATCATCCGTTCGCTTTAGTCGAGTTACTACAAGGTGCAGTCAACGTAAAGGCGGATGATCTCGTACGTTACGTGGAAAGGAAAGTTGAGGACCCAAAGAGGTTGAGGGGAGGAGTAAAGATAGTGAAATCTATTCCTATAACCCCTACTGGTAAAGTTAATCGCTTCAAAGTACGAGATATGTTGAAAAAACGAGAAATCTAACCATTGCCTTTTCCATGCCTTTTAGTTGTTAGGTAATTTACAGCTTTGGGCAATTGTTAAATGTGTTTAGATGAAATGCGCCCAACTAAAAAGTTTGATTTTCGTATTATGTGCGTTCTATTATGTTGTTTAGTAAAGTTTAATTGAATATTTAACAGAGTTGGGCGGAATAAGATCCCCGAAGACTCAAATTTCCCTAGGTTATGGGCCCAAAGTCTAAAGTAATTAAACGTAACAAGAATAAAATATCAGCTGTATATTTCTCTTGTAAGTTTGTTGTAGGTTAGATTACGGGAATATACTTTGTAGTTCCTTTTTCTGACACTAGAGATCATGCAAAATATCTCTCTGTCTCCAATAATATCGATCCATTTCTCCCGTGAGCTATGTATTTTTAAGATGATACAACACTCTATTAACATCGAATATTTTTTTAGGGTTTTTCTCTTTGGATTCTCTTTGTTTTTGTACCTGAATATTACAATCTACGTCGATATCCTTTGATAAAAGTGATAAAATTTAACCGACTATGTAGCTCGGTGGTAGAGCTTTGAGCTACATAGCCGGAGGTCGGGTGTTCGAACCTGGGTTGAGGTAAGAATTTTTCATCTGTGACAGAGATGGGAATTTCCTTAGATCAGTTTCGAGCATTCTGCCGGCTACTCCGAATTAGGTTTTCCTGCAGTTTTCCTAATTCGTAAGGTGAAATACTGGAGTAGTATTAGAAAACGAAAACAGTACAGATTTTCTTTAATTTTTACAGGGGGCCACGCATCTATCGCGTGTTTTGTACCATAATTTCGTTGTTAATCTTTTAACGTGTTTTATCTTAATTTATTTGCCATAAAATAAGTTTGAGGTACCTCATTGTTCGTCTTTACTCGCATGTCTATTTATATTTATCCTTTCTATAAACTACTTTTTAATGCACTGAATTTTTCTTCAAAGGATATAAACAAATGTTTGAAGGTGGTCAGTGTATCATATTCTACCATTTATTGTGTTTCTTTCTTTGATAATGATTTATGGTAAATTTTCGTTAGGTTTTTACGCAACTGTTATACTGCCTTCTAAGTGAATTAAATGTCTATGGTTTATATTGGCATTAGCTGGCGATATGAGCAATTAAAGTCTGAACAGGTTATTCTCACTTGTGACGGGATGGCGAACGAAAGCCAAAGTGAGTACCTATGTTTCACACATTCACTATCATATTAGCGAAACGATTTCATATCACCCTAACGTAATCTCCTCGGATAATATGCTCGCACTTCCAGGTCGTAGAGGAATAGGCTATGTGTATTACCACTCCATGTTAAAAAATGGGGCAAAAATCGCACAGGTTTCCCATTGCCGTATTTCCGTTTTACATTTTCCTATTTTAGATCGATGGGAATACGCGCAATTGTTAATGAGGTGCATTCGAACTGCAATTACAATGCAATTGAAGGGTATTAGATTTTTGAAATATTTGAAGTATTTGAATCTCAACGAACCAGAAAAAATGGAGAACTTCATAACATATGAAGGGTATTAGGCCTGGAGACTTTATTTCCATTTGTTCGCCAAATGACGTAGATTGTGTCGTACCGTATATCGCGTCACTTTTCGTAGGGTCGAAATCGGCTTCAGTATGCGAAAAGATGTCGGTGGAAGAAAACGTTTATTTGCTAGAGCAAGTTAATCCAAAAATGATATTCGTGTCCAAAGGAGCCGTTGAGTTGATTGAAAAAATTGTTGAAAGTTTGGCGGATGATCCAATTATTGTCGTCTTTGGTGCAACAAAAAAGCACACTCCTTTCGAAGAATTTTTGGCCAAACGCTGCCGAGAATATCAATTTCGCCCTCGAGAAGTGGCCAGTCTTGATGAGACGGCCATCGTAGTTTTTAGTAGTGGCACAACGGGTAGACCAAAAGGAATTTGTCATACCCATTACTCTGTGCTCTCCAACGTAACAGTTTTGTAAGTACCAACAGCTCGACTAAATTCATTTCGAAATCAATTTTTTAGTGGTCTAGAGGAAAACCTACAACTTGCGCTATTTTCTTCGTCCTACTGGACACTCTTCCATGTCACTGTTCATGGAATGCTAACAATCGGTTTTACCCTAATCGTCTTCTCGAGCTTCAACGCGATGAATCCCTGGTCGATACTGAACTATCGTATAGACTGTACCTTTTTAGGTCCGAACGAATGTATGGCTTTTATAAAAACGGAAAAGCCTCCATTTTCCGACCCCTCCAATTTAAAGGAATTAGCCATCGGTGGCAACTCCATAAGCACGGATCAAATCGCAAAAGTTCAATCTGTGTTTCCGGATGCGTTCATCCACTGCCTCTACGGTCAAACGGAAGTATAATCATCCGTTTGCTTTGATCGAGTTACTAGAAAATGAAATCATGGTAACGGCGGATGATCTCGTACGTTACGTGGATAGCAGAGTTGAGGACCAAAAGAGGTTGAGAGGAGGAGTGAAGATAGTGAAACGTATTCCTTTAACTCCTACTGGTAAAGTTAATCGCTTCACAGTACAAGATATGTTGAAGAAACAAGAAATTTAAATAGCAAATGCTTTTCCATGCCTTTTAGTTGTTAATTTACTTCTTTGGCCAATCGGTAATTGTCTTATAGTCCTACTAAAAGGTTTCTTTTTTATATTTGAAAGGGTCTACTATCAGAATTTCTGATAAATCGGTATTTGGGATATAATTTATTACGGTTTTAGTTACCCTATTGTTGTTTTACTGTACCCAATGTTAGTGGTGACGTATAAAATACTTTTAATCACGTTGTTTAGTAAAGTTTAATTGAGTATTATAAGGGTTGAGAAAAATAACACGGCCAAAGACTCAAATTTCAATAGGTTATGGGCTCAAAGGCTAAAGCAATTAAACGTATGACAAGAATACAATACACAAGGTTTATTTCTAACATTATCCCTATTAACCTCGAGCAATTTTGACAATTGGAAATTCCGATTTGTGGGTGGAAAGAGTCTAAGATATGTTGGAAATTATACCGAGGCATTTGACAATGATGAACTGAAGAGTTCGAGTTCAATGGAAGTGAAATTTATAATTATTCAATGCAATGGTTAAAGATGCACAAACATCGAAAGCAATGATGGACACTTTGGAAAAAGTGTTCAAGAGGAAATCTGTGTTTACAGAGTTAATGTTAAATTAGAAACGTTGACGTTAATGTAATAAAAATGAAAAGTTAAAATATCATTTTTTAGCGTAACACAACGAAGTTGAGGTAAAGCGTATGTGCTCGTGTTTCCGTCTGTCCGTCCGTCCGTCCGTTCTATTCTAGTGACAAATGCAGGATTACAGGTTCGTGCAACCCAAAACTGACGTAATCAGGGATTATAGCAGGAATAAACCTAGATTGAAATAATAAAGATTATTTTAATCCAATACTAAGTCATGCAAACAAAATTTTTATTTAATCTCATGTTTGGCAAATAATCTTGGATTTCAATTATAATTTACTTTCTTGCAACCGGCCGTGACCTTTCAAGGATTGTAATGAAAACCTACGAATTACAGTAATTTTCTCCCTCTACTGCACAATCTCTATTCACACGTTCCACTCAATTCTCGGCCTGAGAGCTGAGCTATCTAATAGGAATACCCCATTGTTCGTCCTTACGATCGAGTACTCCTCTGTCTCTATATCCTTTCCCTAATACTTCTCAATTTTGATTATTGAATTTTTCAACAAAATACTTATATTGAAACATTTTTGAAGGCATCCTAAAAAGGGCTTTTCTCAATTGGCCACTATACGATTAATTGGGAAAACCTTAAGCGCAACTCCTCTGTCTACCCTTTATTGTTTTTCTTTCCTTCTATTTTTGGTAATGATTTATGCCAAATTTCCGTAGTCGAATTGCTCCACAAACTTTCCACTTGCGTCTCAAGTATCAATTTCTTTAGAAAATAAATGTTTGTTCTCCAAATTTTCTAGATTACTCCACTTTTCTCTTTTTATTAAGTTTCATAATCAGCAGCGCTAAATTCCATCTCAACGACTCTTCAGCAAGTTCAGCTGAAAGCTCGTGAAAGGTAAATAAGTCACTCACATATATATTTTTAAGTTAGTATATTACCTCATTAAAAATAAAAAAAATACTTTCATTAAATGGCCTTGACTATGGTTTACATTGGCATTAACTGGCTCATTAAAACTTTAAAAGTAGAAAAAAATTATGTACGATATGCGCATTTAAAGTCTGAACCAGTTATTATCACTTTCGGGGTGATGGCGAACGAAAGCCAAAGTGAGTATATTTCATACATTCACTTTAATATTGGCGAATCGATTTCAGATCATCCTAACGTAATCTCCACGGATAATACGCTTGCACTTCCAGATCGTAGGGGAATAGGCTACGTATACTACCACTCCATGTTAAAGAATAGGGGAAAAATCGCACAGGTTTCTCATTGCCGTATTTCCGCTTTACATTTTCGTATTTTAGATCAATGGGAATACGGGTGAGGAAGAAAGCTACGATCAATTGTTAATGAAGTGCATTCGAACTGCAATTACAATGCAACTTAAGGGCATTAGACCTGGGGATTTTATTTCCATATGTTCTCCAGATGCCCTAGAATGTTTCGTGGCGTATATCGCGTCATTATTCATAGGAGCGATATCGGCTTCAATATGCGAAGATATGTCAGTGGAAGAAAACCTTTATTTGCTAGAGCAAGTTAATCCAAAAATGATCTTCGTATGTAAAGAAGCCGTTGAATTGGTTGAGAAAGTTGCTGAAAGGTTGGCGCATGACCCAATTATAGTTGTCTTCGGTGCAACAAAAAATCACACTCCTTTCGAGGATTTTTTGGCCAAGCGCTGCCAAGAAGACCAATTTCGCCCTCGGGAAGTGGCCAACCTTGATGAGACGGCCATTGTTATTTTTAGTAGTGGCACGACAGGTAGACCAAAAGGAATTTGTCATACCCATTACTCTGTGCTCTCCACTGTCACATTTTTGTAAGCACCAACAGCTGGACTAAATTAATTCTGAAAACAATATTTTAGTGATCGAAAGGAAAACCTACAACTTGCGATATTTTCCACGACCTACTGGTCAGTCTTCTACACCTTCGCTCATAAAACGCTAACAAACGGTTTCACCAGAATCGTCTTCTCGGACTTGGAAGTGATTAATCCCTGGTCGATACTGAAGTATCGTATAGACTTTACCTTTTTCGGATGGAATGATTATATGTCTTTTACAAGAACTGAAAAGCCGCCATTCGTCGACCCCTCCAATTTAAGGGAACTAGCTATCGGTGGCAACTCCATAAACATGGATCAAATTGCAAAACTTCAATCTGTGTTTCCGGATGCGTTCATTCACAGTACATACGGTCAAACGGAAGTATTCCAAGAGATCTTTACCTTTCCAAACAGTGCGGCTTCTAGAAGTCTTGCCGTGAGGTATCCAAATTCAGTCGGGCTACCCCTTGCCGGTTTTCGTTACAAAGTAAAATTTTCCAGTCGTGGTTTTGATTTACATGCGAACGATTTCAGGTGGTAGACTTAGATACCGAAGAAATTTTAGGGCCAAATCGTAAAGGCGAGCTGAGGCTACGGTCAGCGTGTCAAACTTCGGGTTACTACAATCACGACTCGTCGGAGATGTTCGACTCGGAAGGTTGGCTGAAGACGGGTGACTTGGTGTACTATAATGAGGAGAGGTGTTTCTTCATCACTGGCAGAATTAAAGAAAGTTTCAAGTACCTGTACCACCATATTAGCCCAGTTGAGATCGAGAGCGTACTTATGGCGCATCCGTCTGTGGGAAGGGCGGTTGTTCTGGGTCTTCCCCATGAGACAGACGATAATCATCCGTTCGCTTTGGTCGAGTTACTAGAAAATAAAGGAAATGTAAAGGCGAATGATCTCGTACGTTACGTGGATAGCAGAGTTGAGGACCAAAAGAGGTTGAGGGGAGGAGTTAAGATAGTGAAACGTATTCCTTTAACTCCTACTGGTAAAGTTAATCGCTTCAAATTGCGAGAAATGCTGAAAAAGCAAGAGATATAACTGGCAATCTTTGCCCGTTAATTTCAATGTTAAGACATTCTTTTGTTTAATACACGGGATGGGTGGGTTTCTTAGTAGGAAAACTTCCTTGTTATGTTATTATAAAGATGTACTATGATAGTTGGGGAAAAATCGGTTTTGCAAATAAAAAAAGTTTGCTCTGCACATATTCAGGATATTTGTCATGATCCTCTTGCACCCCGGAAAGTCACCACCATGTATGTACAGAAGAACTGGTTTCGAAAATCAAGGTTTTTGAACAGTAAAATTCTCTAGAGACTTTTAGCAGACGCGACGCTTGGGGGCTCTAGAAGAGCATTAAACACTCCTAGATACTATTAAACGCGAATGTCTTTAATGGCATCCTAAATATTTTTAAAGTTCTAAAATCATTTAGAAAACTAATAGTCCTCTTGAAATTTGCCCCAAGATCATGGCTTACGATCCTGGATCAAGGTTCTGGCTTTGGATTCTGGATCGCGCCTTCTAAACTTTAAACGAACCTCATCCCGGCCTCGAAATTCGCAAAAGGTCCTCTTCTAACACCAACTTTCAGTATTTAACTCATACTCTCCTACTTTCCAAAATTCGAAAATCTTCCTCCAATTAGCGGATACGTAACAACTCAACAACCAATCACGCATCTTGTCCTCCCTTAGGTCACGCATCCAAATTTTTACAATGAATTCCCTAATCTCCGATAAAATTTTTCCACTCCGGTTTTTGAAATGCATTCTAATCGCTAATAAATTAAATCATCCTTTTGACAAAAGTAATAAAACTACCCATAAATTCAAACAAAACTAACAACCCAAAATTGATATCAAAATAAACGATTAATTGCCCTACATTTAACAATTCTAAGAATTAATCTTATAAACAGGGAAACAGACCACTTGGATACAACTAGAAACGAAATAATCATTTTTTGCACCACCACCACCAGAATAATTAAATAGTTTGGCAGGCGGATCGAAGATGGCAGCCAACAAAATGGCGGATTTAAAATGGTAACTAACACAATCGAGAGCGTATCCAAGATGGCGCCCAACAAAACGGCGGATTTTAAATGGGGACTAACACAATGGAGGGTGGATCCAAGATGGTGCCCAACAAACTGACGGATTTAAAATGGCGACTAACAAAATTACTTGCAGGAAATATTTAAAGAAAATGGTTTGTATGTGGTAGATATTTGAAACAGCTCTTCATTGTTTCATAAACAAAGAGTGCGCTAAATTCAGACCGTAAAACTGCAGTTCCTTCCATAGTTATCTCTTTCATTATACAAAAATAAATAGCAACTATAATATGAAAGTTTGTACAGACAAAGTAGTTCCCCACAACCTCTAGGACTTTTATTATTAATTTTATTAATAATTATAATTATTGGCATCTCTTAAAATGTTTTACTCTAGACCCACTTAAGTGCCACCGATAAGCTCCATCCTACGTTTCTGTAACTTTGCTGGACCTAAAATATCAATACTTTTAAGATATATGCCAACAGGCAGCATTCGGCACAGTTATTAACATCGCCGCGATAGGAAAACGCCCCTTCACAAGCGATCGAGAAAAGTATCAACAATTTTGTGTGTCGAAGCGAAGAACGCCAGGCTTTTGTAACAATTTTACACGTTAATTAACATTTGCACCATACGGATTCAAGGCACGTGAACCAAATTACCTACATTTATCTCTCTCACTTTATTGAAATTAAAATTATTTGTGATACACATCCCTTTTTGTTATAAAAAATTTAGGTCAAAAAACTTTTCTTGTGGCAAATAAATTTATTCGGAAGTAGATATCTGGACCCTTTGTTATATCAGACTGATGAAGCCAAAGAATATTTTTCGCAATATAACCCTATTAAAGATTCACAAAAATCCACGTTACTTTAGGAAAGGTATAAATTAGAATTTTGCTGGAACGAAAGTTCATTGCGTTACAAGGTAGATTTACGCTAGATAATGCATAACGTCCTCTCCGATTTTCTATTTTGAAATTCTCAGGGAAACCCCATCGTTTGGAAAGCGGCAGAAAGTGACATAAAAGACATATTTTTCCTGGAACCTCTACTGGAAGTGGATCGACAAACGCGTTCTATAGTACAAGACCAATTTCACTTCTTTGAATTTCGAAGATGTAGGTCATACGCAAGGTACAACATTAATGGACATTCACCTTTTACCATTTGAATAGTCACGTGATCTTTCACTTTCTTTTATATGCTGTTCCCTTTGCGATATTAAAGTAATTTATTTATATACTAGCAATACCAAGGATGCAGATCATCAGCATCTTAGTGTTAGTTTGTGTCGGTGTTGCTCTTTCGGCGTCGCCCACTAAATACACAAATAAATATGATAATATTAATATTGATACGATTTTGCAAAACGACAGAGTGCTAAATAATTATTTAAAATGTTTGATGGAGGAAGGACCTTGCACTGCGGAGGGCCGTGAACTTCGAAGTAAGTATTTTTGAATAATTCATTTGAAGGAAAAGGAATGTGTAGCTTAACACAGCATTTGGGTATGTTAGTTTTTCTGTGGACATGCTGTGTATTACTTTCACTATTCAATCCAGTATGTAATTCAGGGTTACTGGAAACAAAAGATTGTAGGCATTGTTAAATTTCGCTACACAGCCCTTCGCTGCTGGTTTTTGACCACATTTTTATTTTCGCGTGAAATGCAATAATTTCAAATTGCTTAATAACGGTAGTGACAGTCGTTTTTCATTCTTTTTCAGAAACGTTACCTGACGCCCTTGCTAGCGGATGCAGTAAATGCAACGAAAGGCAAAAACAAACATCCGAAAAAGTAATCAGGCATTTGATGACAAAAAGGAAGCGAGATTGGGAGAGACTTACTAGAAAGTACGACCCGAAGGGGGAATACAAAAGACGCTATGAAGAATTCGTTAAAAATAATCCAAAAGAATAAGCCTTTTGATTTTTGCTTAATTTAGGATACAGTATTATATGGAAAATTCTTGCCGTCACTTAATAGCGTAGTTAGAAATTAATTATATTTTTATTATAAAGTGATCAAAACACATTTTGGCTCTAGTTTTCTTCCCTTGCCCTTTCCCGCTTCGCATTGGTCTAAATATAATTCACCTCTCGCACTTTGTGAGATGTCTCTGTACTTTTTTTGGTATATGGAAACGGCTATATGGCGCAAAACACCTTCAAAAGGGGCTTAATGGCTAAATTTGAAGGTGCTCCTGCTTCCATGTTTGGTGACGGTGCCTAAGCGAATCTGATGACGGAAAGTTTTATTTTCTTTTCAAGTGAAAATTATATAACTTCATCATAGCGAACCGAATGTTCTATATTGCAGAACGTTACGACATCACCTGGTTCAACCAAGAACTCAAGTTTTCAATAAATGTTTGGTAAGATTATTAGACCAAAAACACTTGGGTCGCAAGATCTCATGACCTCATGGCTTTTTTATATTGACGTATGTATTCAAAACCAAAATTTATTCGGGTAAAAACTCTTCTAAATTAGGTACACATAATAATTAAAGCTGAGAATGAAAACTTCAAAAGGTTGGATTTCGTTCTCCATTTGTTGCTATAGGTCACTCTCTGAGCGTGGTGTTAAGCAAAAATTACTAAACGAGTAGGTTCAGCACGTTCTCAACCTGATCCTATTTTTACTGTTGATGACGTTGTCAATGGAAGGAGTTTTGGATTTAAATAAAGATAATGAAGATAATGCAGCAAGTGATCAAACCTGTTAAAAAATGTAAGATCATGAAACGATTTTGCTTCCTAGCCGAGGCATTTCCTTTTTCCTGTGTGTGTACTCCGTCTTTCATCGCTCTAGGCATGAAATTCGTTGCACTTCCAACAAAAATGATGTTGCTCCTTTCAAGACCTTCCTACAATCTCATTGTCACTTAAATTTAAAAAAAAGGTGGCTTTCATGGATCTGAGTCTGCGCAGGAGAATAAGGTCAAGTTGTGTAAATAAGTAACTCTGAAGCATTCTGAAGGCTTTGAATATTTTATATTCAAAGCTGAAGGTAATTTACTGGTGCTGCGAGAACTCTCTGCTCCTCAGAAGTGATCGCTAAATATTTAGCCGAAACATGAAATGCGCTTGAATCTAAACACCTGCATAGTGAGGCAAGTTATTCTCCTGTTCCTTTTCTTGACGACGTTCGTGTTGATCTCCGTTTAACATCCCATGAAACCAAAAAGAAAGCTCTTTATAGAAGTTCATCTGGAAGAATTGATGGTCTAAGAACGTTCAGATTTAATAACGATTTCTAATTCCGCTTCGTCACTAACTTTATTAGAAGCCCTTGCCAAATTTGTAGATATCGTTCAGACCTGAACGATATCCTGTTCTTACTGATGTTGAAGAAGTCATAAAATTTTCGAGAATTAGAGGATTGAAGCTAAACATGCGTAAGATAGCCTAAAGAAGCATTTGATTCCTGGCATCAAACTAATCGACGGAGCTGATTTTGAACTTCTTTGTGCATCTGTGTCGAATTCGCCCTTTGAAACAGTACTGCTGAAGCTTGAGCTTCTTGATACACAGTCAGCGTTTTTTTTTATTGAATGCTTGCTTTAGTGTGGCCCTAAGTGAACTTATTTTTTACGTTGCTATCCACTGCATCAGCACGTGGATTTAATACACAGGGTTTGGAGGACGCAGATCTCGACACGAATCGTTAAACCAAGTTACAAGTCCACTCTGTTCTTGAACCAACGGCGACATAGAGAGATAATAAGCGCCGGATGGTATTACTTCGATCCTTTGTCAAAGAGGACGATCCCTTACGTGAGTTGTAACTGTGATAGATACGCTTGCTCCTAGTTATTTGAATTCTACCAGTAGATAATGCAGTGCTGCGGTTTCCGAGGCTGAACGTCGGAAAATTAATAAACACGGAGACCTTGGTCATCAATACATCTTCTACGCAATTGCTCGTAAGTCGATGGGAATTGCTGAGGAATCTTTTAAGAGTCTCCAATAGCTTTTTATTAATCTTTAAAAGTGATTCTAAAGTACAAAAGCCCTCAAGAACCATCAAGAGGATTCTCTTGCCACCTTTTTAAAGGGCCTTTAAAAACATTTAAAGTGTTTATTGGACTTTATGATTCATTATAACGTTGAATAGTTTTTAAGACATGTTACAAGCTTCAAGGGTCTAAAATGCATATAAAGAGAAGCTGTTATAGTCTTTGAGGTTCTGACTTCTCCTTAAAAGCTGGCCCTTTAAGAGCCTTTTCAGTTTTGGAAATTTTTTAATGTAGGTATTCAATGGTTTTCCAATATTTAAGTTTTTGTGACCGTTGAAAGCTTTCAAATACTTTTAAGAAACGTTAAAGGTCAAACTTTTATATGTTCTCTTGGAGAGTCTTTAAGGGTCTCTAAAAGAGCGAATAGACATACCAGATGTGAACTTCTTCCCTTTAGAACCTTTGGGAGAACGTAACAACTTTTATTAGTCCTGGTCTCCGAGAAACCTTAAACGTTTTTAAAAATATTGAGCCTTTATGTCCCTCTACAAAGATTTTTAATGGTTTCTGAACCCTGAACCCAGTGTGTACTGTCACTTTTTGCCCCTCGTCGCGTTTTGAAAAGTGACACCCTAAATGAATGACAAAACACATTGATTTAGTCCACGGAGTACAAAAATAGCTCTCATTTTCATAGATTATAAAGTATGACATCCTTAGTCAAGGGTCTCTAATACATTACTGCTCTCAAAAGTTTAATTAAACCATGTAAAAACCAGTGATTTGTTTTTAATATATTCTGAGCACTCTGAAAAATGAAGGGACAAAGCACGTTGAGGAAAATGTGGAACTTGACAGCAACTTAAGCACAGCCGCTTAAGAGCTATATGTATAATGTATGTATGTGTATGTATGTATGTATAATAACATATAATACATAGGAAGACCTTTTGGAGAGCTTGAAGCTAACTTTAGGTGATTTTGGTTTAAGGATACATTGAGAAAGAAGTTAAGAAATGAATGTGAAAAAAATTTGAAGAAAAGAAAAATCTGACGTGCACTTCAAGTAAGTTTAGGAGGGAGTTGAGCTTATGCTAGAAGGAAAGCAAGATCTGAGAGAACTTGACAAGGTGCCACTAAGGCTGATAGGAAGGGTAGCAGGCTAGGAGGCCCAGAGCCCAATGTTGGGTTTAATTGCCTTTGGAATGGTAACTTATTAATTAATTGAGTATAGTAACATTAATGAACACTTTGTGGACCTCATAAACATTTTAGGTAAAATAGTTACCTACGTATGTCCATCATTTTGCATGATAATAATTGACTCAGCTCGTCAATATGGACCGTATACAAGAAATTGCGAGTTTATTCTAGATGTTATGTATTAATGTAACAAATTCATTCTACTTATATAAATTGTTTATGGAACTAAAAGACATTGGAACTGTGACCATTAGGTAGGTATAGTAGGTAGGTAGGTACCTACTTAGGTAGGTACTATCTGAGATATAGGTAGGCAGTAGATACATTTGGTCTTAATTTAAATTTTTCTTTTACTGAAATGTGATATAATAAAAATTATTTGGTTTTCATGTATTTTATTACAATTACAACCCCTAAAACATTGAAAATCTGTTCTATATATATGACTGGTTATGGTTCCCAATGTAGCAGTGCTTGAATACATCGGCCCATTAGCTCAGTTGGTTAGAGCGTCGTGCTAATAACGCGAAGGTCGTGGGTTCGATCCCCCCATGGGCCAAATTTTTACAACTTTTTACAATAAATTATTGTCATATTATCTAGAATATTTATCAACTATCGCTAACCACGCATGCGGATACCTTTTCTGCACAAAACGAGCAACCCTTTGTGCACTGGCCAATCTTCTATTATCACAAGAAGCACAATTATTTCCAATTATCTCGGGGAGTGAATCTGAAAAATTACTCCTCTTTATTTTGCATATTTACACCGTATAAAAATTAAAATAAATAGGGGTACCTTTAATTTGTTGTCCAAAACCATCACAAGGCGCTTGGTCGAGAGCACAAAGTAACTGCCTTTCAATATAATTTGAGCCCGACAATCCATGCTGACAAAATACTACACATAAGTGAAAAATAAGCACAGTGAGCGTTAAGTGGCAAAATTCCATCTTACTGATGAAAAATATCGTCAAGACTGTTATATAACCAAACTCTTACACAATTACTGCATCCTTCCTATTGTAATACTAGGTGTAATAATTGTTACAATGAACTTTTTTTCGCGCGCTATTATTTTTCCAAATTAATGTAATCTAATTATAATTGCTTGTCTGTTGAAATATATAATCAACATCGAATAATTAAGCGTCGGTCACGCACATTTACCACTTTTTGAAAACTGCTCTTGACCCACAAATTTTGAAGAGAACAGTGGGCTAATTTTTTTGCATGAACCTTTTACGTCCAACAATCTCAGAAATATCTTTGGGCTAAAATACTGGGAATAAACTTGCTTCTTTCAACAAAATTACTAAATTTAATTCTTTTACGGCCGCTGTAAGAAATTTGTCAGGCACTCTGTGGCCAGCAAGAGGTTATGAGAATACCCCGTTAGATTTCCTATTATAGAGTGTTACAAAACTACACCAAGAGTCCAAAATGTTTCGTTTAGGCATTTACTTTCCCCAAAATTTTCATATTTTATTTAATTTTTCCTCAACATAACACACAGGTGGATATAAAGTTTTTATGAACTAATGGCATACTTAAGCAGCTTAATATTTTTCATTAATTTTTGCCATTTAAGTAAGAAATATTTGCAATTTTACGCGTTTTGAGGATGTTTTTCCCTTTGGGGGTTCGAACGATATTTTTTTTAATTTTGATAATTATTCTACATTCAGTATTGTCTTTATACACTTGATGGTTGAAGATGGTTTTTCTCAAAAAGTCCCCCCTCTAACCTACAATTAACGTGTTCAACCTTATTTTTTAAACAAAATAAAAACAGATTCAATTAATAAAACGATTTTATCCCCTGACTCCGCATAAAAGTTTTCGATGTTGATTTTCTAGGACCTATGTCCTAATTTTCTCCTAACCAGCTATTTTTGTGGATCATAAAACGAACGCAGCAACGCTAAAAATTAAGTGCCGATAATGTTCTAGGCTACGTCATTATAACGTGTACGTTTGTTAATTGCAAGTATATTCTTGTGTTGTTCAATCGATTTTGGGGGTGGAAAGAATGTGACGACGAAATAGCTGGTACTGGTCTCTCATTGGTTAAAAAAATTGATCGTTTTAGGGAAACTATTTAACATTTTCACAAAATGCTGATGTTATAGCGTTTGCAAGGATATTTTATTCATTCCTATAAACACCATAATTTTAAGAGGTGTTTGTGATGCAGTGATTGCGTTTACACAAAAATGTCGTCGTCAGTTTCGCCCCTTCGACCTGAAGAGGTAAGTACTGTTTGTTTTACATAAAAGTGATTAATGTATTACGTTCATTGAACCCATTTAACAAAATGTGCATTGCCACCAACAATTATACCTATTGATTGCATTGTGCTGGTTTAAACTGATGCAAGCCCTAGTTAATCATGCGGAGCAGCCACAAAAGCGTCCTATTTCCTCGATTAGATACCTATTATCATTCTAGCAGAATAGTAGTCTTGGTAAATATTATTGTGTCGCGTTATCACAAATTGTCGATAAAAAGTGGCGTACCTACTGTAAATTCGTAAATAACAGCGCGGACTGTACAGGTTTCAAGTCAAATGCGATGATTATTGTCCAACAAAACACCGGAAATTAAACCAGCATCCAAATTCGAAACAGTTTAAAGATGTCGCAAAGACCGAACGGTAGTGACCAGCCGGATGGAAATGTCGTTGTGGCTGGAGTGCAAATTTTGGTACTAGTTTGAGTTGTATGGTGTACTAATTATTTTTGGTCTTTTTTTAGAAAACTTTGGACGCCAACAGATACGCAACGAAGAAAACCATTGCCCAAGGTCTGCTGGATGTTGCTTTATTAACGGCGAATGCATCACAATTGAAATACGTGTTGCAAGTCGGAAAACAACACGAATTTTATACATTAATGCTCAGTTTAATAATAGTCTCCATTGTCTTGCAGGTAATTTCTTTACTATTATTTAAACTATTAATTTGGTCACGTATTTATTATTGTTTTAAGCCCATATTAGCACACTTTTCACTTTATTAATCATGATATAAAGTAGAAACTTCCGGTATACTATTCTGATTGTATTACTGACACAGACACTGTGACTAATTGATCAAAATTTCGAATTATCTATCAATGATTAATTTGAGTGCCATTTCGTAACAGGCACATACCTATGTTGTAGGATGTAATATAAATGGATTGGAAAATAGCTTGAAAAATAGCATAATGGTGTTTAAGTAGGTAGTTTATAGATTGTATATTGGGCAAACGTGATTTGCAAATATGACAGACAATGACCCAACGAAGCTGAGGTACTTACCTATATTTTAATTGAATAAGAAATGGCGGCTTTGGTTGTCTATTGTTGAATAGAGGGGGAGCAATCTTTCAATTGAGACCACTAAATCGAATCTCCAAAATATTGTGTTTTAATCACCAAGGTGCCCATTTCGTTTGTAGAATTTCAAAATCTTCCAATGCAGGTCCATCTCAATGCCAGACAACTTGCTCCTATTGAATTGAAATTAGTGTCTGTTTTGTGGTGAGTCCAACAAACATATTTTTGCACTTGTGGTTTCAAAAAGTTTTAAAATATCTATAACGATTTCGAAAAGTTCAGTCTGGACCAGCAAAGAGGACGATTGTCCCTGGCGAGTTCTGTGTTTACTTTGTTTACTTTACCTACTTTAGTAAAGAATTCGGTAAATTTTGAACGCGAGGACGATCCGAGTTTAAATCGGGCTGAAGCCAAAGCTGAATTTATAGTTTTGGGTTTCTGGATATTCAAAGATTCTATAGGGTATTTTATGTATTCATTCTTCTTATGTGTCTCGTTGAAGGAAAATTATAATTTCTATTTTTATGAGAGCTATAACCTCATTTGAAACGCAGCAAACCTTGATTCCTATCACCTTATTGGTCCTGATTAATCGCACAGGTATGAGTGACCGTTATACCAAATCATATACGGCGTTTTGTGAACCAAAGATACCCTTTGGCAGGATTCGTCCTTAGGACCAAAGGATGGTTTTAAAAAATTGAGCCATCAAGATTTATGTAAATTTTTGACGGGGTGAGGGGGGCTCCCGATGTTTCTTTGATATCTACATGAGCTAAGCTACTGGGACAGGTTTGGTATCGTTTTCGTATAAATTGGGCATGCCGAATTCATTTATGATATCATATTGACACCGTTCCCAAGATAAAACATAAATTAGAATTAGAAACATTTTTTTTAATTCCCACAAGGAAACATTCCATAACGTATAAACAATTAATGAATGTTGAGCAAAAAGGTGCTTTAGAGAGCTCTACTAATGGTTCATCATGGCCCTTCAATTTCAGTCCATCCCCAGTCTTTTTGGGAGGAACATCACGCCTGTGGAATTTAAAGCTTGCTATAAGACAATGTTATCGAAGTTTTTTATATATCAAGTACGGGAGTGTTACTCTCTAAAATTAATTTTTATTCACAAAAAAATTCACTATTTATAGTTACAAAAAATTAAAGTGTAAGAATATTTCAAATTTTTTTGTCTACTTTCAAACCTTTTGTTGTGTTTTTAGTATAGATAGTTGAAAATGATAACAAATTTGACTTACAGAGAATACAGCAGCCAAAACGCTCGAACAACCAATGGCGCCGAGAATTCAGTCAAATATAAAATACATACAAAACAAACTACTTCATGACGATTTGTAACCACTCCAAACATGATACTCTACCTGCTAAAACCAGTAAACACGCTTTAATTGCTCACAGAACCCTAAAGATCAGTAATTATCCTACATGCTTACAATAAAACTGTTAATCACCGTCCGACGGAATGAGCGGTTGTAATCAACCCTGAAAAAATAATAACCAAAAGTACTTACAATAAAATTGGCAGCCAGTGCCCAAGGAGTTGAGGGGGTTTAATTAACCATAAAAGTGTAAACAAATTAATTTCATACCCCCCCACAAAAAGGGTATCACGTTCTTCTGTTAAAGATCCCGTATACTCAAACACCAATTTACGACCCAAAACGAACCAAATCACTTGTTGGTTCAGTATCAAAATCTTTTGGTTTGCAAAATGAACCAAACACCTAAACGAACTATAGTAAAAAATTGATATTTTATACGTTTTCTGTATTGTTGTCAGGTAGTAGTCGCAATTGTGAGCTTATCCTTTAGTATGATGCGAGACTGTCGACTTCATTTGGAGGAATATCATTACTCGGCGAATATGCTGAACTATTTAACAACAACATGCTCCTTCCTAATCACAGTTCTTAATCTCTTAATTTCAATTTTTGATCCGAGTGTCGCGCGTTATGCTGTATTTGAAGCACCTGATTTGACTCAAAAGGTTGATGGAAGCTAAATTAAATCTCTCCGGGTAAAATAATGTTGTGATATCTACAGCCATCGAGATTTGCTTTTTTATAGATTTGAACTATTGAATAAATAAGCGACATTTATTTTTAGTCAAAAATAGTCTTATACTTGGAAAAGTTGTCACAGAGCATCATTTCTTGGATTTGATTGTAGCAATTAATTTTTGATTTCCTAGGAATTTTACTAGTGCCATGGATTAAATTCTCTCACGACAGAAATCATGATGCTCCACAAAAAAAACGTACTTAGTAAATTAGTAAATAAAATTTTAAACGTCTGATAGATGATTGGAGTATTAACCATTCTTTTAGTGTTTACTTGTCAATCTGAAAATTACATAAGTATTTGCGTTTAAGCTTTGAATACACATATTTGAAGGGTTGAAGGTAGCATTTGAAAAGTAATTGATTTATATTTCTATTACATTTGTCTAAAAGCTTTTTTCTTCCATTTACCAAAAAATGTCAATTAATTAATTCTTATTTTTATTTTAACAGTTGATTGTCGCCATACTTTTTGTTATAATTGGAGGACTAAACATAAACAAGACTCGAGATCACACCGCCGCTTTGGTCCTAAACGACGTTATCCTCATTTTTGTTTTTCTTATCTCTTTAATTAATATTATTATTTCCGGTTTCGGCATAGAATACTCAAATCAGCCCCTTAGACTTATAAGTGAATCTTCGACGAAAAATTCATAACCGATATTCTCAAAAAGAGACTTACACTAATTGACCCTTTTGTGTTTAGGTATCTGCCGCATTGTTGTCACTCGTAATGGCAACGATGACAATACAACAGAGCACGAAACAAAATACCGTAGCCGAAATTTTAAACCACGTAGCTCTTGGGTTCGTAACGGGGGCCTTATTTTGCGATATTATAAAAATGAATTTCGGATTAGATCCCGCGGTGGCTGTAAATATTACAAAAATTGAAGCCAAACAGTTTTTTTGATTTTAGTTTTTGTTTGTTTATTTATTTTTATTTATTTTATTTTTTTCCCCCGAAAGACGTTTCAAGCCCTACTCTGCATTTTCCTGGGGGCGAGATTGAATATCAACAAGGAATCACATCAAGACACTGCAAACCGTACTAATAATATCGTCCTTTGTGTTAATATAGTTGTTTTTGTTGTAAACATAGTTTTGGAAGCTTTTAACTTGTCAAACGACAGGAAAATTAGTCCTAATACTTTCTAAACAAATTTGTAAGTTTTTGTGGTAATATCATTGAATACAAGTTTTTATTCAATGGTAATATGTGCCTATGTTTTAGTTTTTAGTTTAATGTACTACTTACATCATAGATAGCCCAAGGAGATGCGGAATCTTCTTCTCGTTCGATTTTGTTAAATGTACTACCATGATTGTAAACGCCAGTCTCTGTCTAATCCTAATCTGTATCTATCATACAGATAGTACCTACGCTATCAAAACGTGGCAGAAGTGGATCTCTATCTAACGCAAGCAAAGTAAACAGAACAGAAATTTGAGCAGGCGATAAACGATTAGCTTAGCCTGTTTTTATAGCGTACGAATTGTAGGTAATTAAAAATAACTTAAACCAATTATACACAGGAGATACCATGTAGATAGCAACATTTTATAGGTACTAAAGCTGACACTTTAAGATATACCTACTCACTGTATTAGATTAATGAACACTTGTAGGTAATTATTCCTTATAATATACAATGGGGACCTTTGAAAACTTACATGGTTATATTTTTAATGAAAGATCGTTTCTTTAAAAAGGGGGAATCCAAATGACTTATTTTTAAACTACCCTAACCACTCCCTTAAGCCCACCCATACTGGTGTAAAAACTTTAAATTACAATACAATAATTATGTATTAAACATACTTTTCACTGGTCGTTACTGGTAGGGTGAATCCAAAACTAACCGCAATTTTTTGTTATTATCAGCAATTTGGTTCTATATTATAGACTATTGCGTGGAACAAACAATTGAACTTTTCATTCGCAACATACATCATTTTATTGATAGGTATAAAAAGTATACCTCTTATAAGTTTTTAAAGGCCCACACCTGTATATTCGTAGCTATGTGGAAGATTATATCCAAAGCATAGGTACTATTTATTTTGTAGTATAAAGAATCGGACTAAATTTTACTGTAAATAATTGCTTTTTGTATGGAATAGCAGTTTTTACAAATACTTAGACTTAGACTCATATAAAACTATTCATTCAAACAAAATGACGTCAACAATTGTTTGGAACTGTATGTAGTAAATGTTGATTATGCAACTTCCGAAGCCACAGTTTTGGGTGGTAATTGAAAAGCAACTGAAATTAATCTGGCAAAAGCACGCACAGTATAAGTAAATGATTATTTAAACAGTTTTGCTCAGAAGTCCTGAAATATTTCGATTACCCTCAATAAAACCAACCATCTGGCCCGGTAGAAGAAATATTCAAAACCACGTTACCCGTTATGTATTGGCAGAGTTTTGGAGGATTAGAATCACTTCGAACCATTACTAAGGTGAGGTCTTGTAGACAATGATTTAACACTTATTTTCTTCGAAAAGATAGAGGAACGAGGAAGAGAATATAACTTCTACAAAATGAAGTTTGTTAGAGGCTAAAAAGTTTTGCAATTTTTTTGTCTATCGAGTGACGTAAAAATCCATTATGGCGTCTATTTAAAATAAGGAAGTTGATGTCAATATCTGACTAACCGCCATATTGAAAACATTTGTTCTACGCCCATTGAATTTATCCCTGTACAGTCCCTAATAAAGTACCTAAAGTTGTTTCTTCTATAGGCAAAAAAGTAGTTGGAAAAGTCCCAAGTGGTGCAAGAGGATAAGTATACACTGCTCTGTATATGTTGCATGAGCAGTGCAGGTACGTACGTGCGACCAGCAAACAGCAATTCGTTTCAGGCGGAAAAGGATGAATGAAGATCGAGATGAAGATCTGTTTAAAAATACACCTTTGGGAACCCTGCGACATATATTCAATTGTGGTTTCATAAATTCAGATTTGTTACTGGAATGGATGAAGCATTTTAAGCAGCACACTCATCCAACAAAAGAAAATCCGGTATTGCTCATCTTCGATAACCATGTTTCCCACAGAACTTTGGCAGTAATTAATTCCAGGGAAAATTATATTCGCCTCTTGGCCATACCACCGCATTTAAGTCACAAAATCCAGCCGCTTAACAAAAGATACTTTAGCCCACTGAAAAGTGCTCACAGCAATTTTTGTGATGAGAAATCCGGGAAAGGTAATCACCCAAAAAAATTTTGGTGAATTATTCACAAAGGCATATAATAAGGTAGCACACTGAAAAGTGAAAAGTGCTCACAGCAATTTTTGTGATGAGAAATCCGGGAAAGGTAATCACCCAAAAAAATTTTGGTGAATTATTCACAAAGGCATATAATAAGGTAGCCAATGTTAACAAGTTAAAAAGTAATCGTAAACGATTTACATAAAGCGCATTTCCACTTGCATTCATTTCCCATTTGTAAGATGCAACTTCTATTAAAATCGTAAAAATCCGGCCACAAATATGAAAGATAGCGTTGCACATGGGCAATCCATTTTTGACGTGCTACTTCAATTTCAGTTTATGAGAAGAATTTCATTTCAATGCTTTTCTAAATAAGAAAGTTGGAACTGCGCATGCGCAAACCTAAATTTTGAAACTAATGTTAGATTTTCCTTTGTTCCAAGCGCCTAAGTATCAAATTTCACTTAAATGCTTCCATAGATAAAAAAGTTGGCACTGCGCATGCGCAAAATAAAATTTTGAAACTGGCGCTAGATTTTCCTTTATTCCAAGTGCCTATGTATCACATTTCATTTAAATTCTTCCATAAATAAAAAAGTTGGCACTGCGCATGCGCAAAACCAAATTTTGAAATTGGCGTTTGATTTTCCTTTATCCCAAGTGCCTATGTATCAATTTCATTTAAATTCTTTCATAAATAAAAAAGTTGGCACTGCGCATGCGCAAAACCAAATTTTGAAATTGGCGTTTGATTTTCCTTTATCCCAAGTGCCTATGTATCAAATTTCGTTTAAATTCTTCCATAAATAAAAAAGTTGGCACTGCGCATGCGCAAAACCAAATTTTGAAATTGGCGTTTGATTTTCCTTTATCCCAAGTGCCTATGTATCAAATTTCGTTTAAATTCTTCCATAAATAAAAAAGTTGGCACTGCGCATGCGCAAAACCAAATTTTGAAATTGGCGTTTGATTTTCCTTTATTCGAAGTGCTTATGTATCAAATTTCGTTTAAATTCTTCCATAAATAAAAAAGTTGGCACTGCGCATGCGCAAAACCAAATTTTGAAATTGGCGTTTGATTTTCCTTTATCCCAAGTGCCTCTGTATCAAATTTCGTTTAAATTCTTCCATAAATAAAAAAGTTGGCACTGCGCATGCGCAAAACCAAATTTTGAAATTGGCGTTCGATTTTCCTTTATTCGAAGTGCTTATGTATCAAATTTCGTTTAAATTCTTCCATAAATAAAAAAGTTGGCACTGCGCATGCGCAAAACCAAATTTTGAAATTGGCGTTTGATTTTCCTTTATCCCAAGTGCCTATGTATCAAATTTCGTTTAAATTCTTCCATAAATAAAAAAGTTGGCACTGCGCATGCGCAAAACCAAATTTTGAAATTGGCGTTTGATTTTCCTTTATTCCAAGTGCCTATGTATCAAATTTCATTCAAATACTTTTATAAGTAAAAAAGTTTGCAATTCATGGTCGAGATGCGAAAAGGGCACAATGTTTCAACAAATTTCGTTTAAATTCTTCCAAAAATAAAAAAGTTGGCACTGCGCATGCGCAAAACCAAATTTTGAAATTGGCGTTTGATTTTCCTTTATTCCAAGTGCCTATGTATCAAATTTCGTTTAAATTCTTCCATAAATAAAAAACTTTATCCCAAGTGCCTATGCATCAAATTTCGTTTAAATTCTTCCATAAATAAAAAAGTTGGCACTGCGCGTGCGCAAAACCAAATTTTGAAATTGGCGTTTGATTTTCCTTTATTCGAAGTGCTTATGTATCAAATTTGATTTAAATTCTTCCATAAATAAAAAAGTTGGCACTGCGCATGCGCAAAACCAAATTTTGAAATTGGCGTTCGATTTTCCTTTATTCGAAGTGCTTATGTATCAAATTTCGTTTAAATTCTTCCATAAATAAAAAAGTTGGCCTGCGCATGCGCAAAACCAAATTTGGAAATTGGCGTTTGATTTTCCTTTATCCCAAGTGCCTATGTATCAAATTTCGTTTAAATTCTTCCATAAATAAAAAAGTTGGCACTGCGCATGCGCAAAACCAAATTTTGAAATTGGCCGTTTGATTTTCCTTTATAGTGCCTATGTATCAAATTTCATTCAAATACTTTTGTAAGTAAAAAAGTTTGCAATTCGGTTTATAAATGGTCGAGATGCGAAAAGGGCACTGTGATTTTTGAATCGATTCGATTCAACTTTTGGCATTGCGTATTATATGGCTAAATCTATGCCCATATTGAATTTCATGCAATTCAGTTCATAACTAACGGAGATGTAAAGCGATCGAACATTTCTAAACAAAGTTATCGTTCACACGGACAGATAGATGGACAGACAGACAAAGGAACAGACGGAGAGACCAACCGGCAGGCGACAGATAGCAATGCAAAATTATAAACAATCTCTAGGATCGTTAATAAACGGCAAAAGTGTAAAATTATGGAACATGTAAAAAACGGTTTTTTGTTTTTTTTTACAATAACTTTTTTTGTAAGCGGTACAGAAAAAATTCCTTCCTTGGTACAAGACTCGACACCATAACGAACCAAATAGCGAAAAAAGTAGAACAATAGCTCTTAAGACAAAAAACTAGTAGCGCCGCAAAGTTAGCGGACGGACGGACGGACGGACGGACAAAGTGGCCACAATAGCGCATTTTTTTTTATTTTTGTGGAAATGCGCTAAAAAGGCAGTGAATGCCATCAGATCAACCGGAATTTGGCTTCTTAATTTAAACATTTTGAATGATGAGGACTTCGCACCATCACTAGTCACTGGCGGGAAATATGAAGATCAGCAGTCAATCCTTTTAGAGCAATCCACCAAGACGAAAACATTATTGTAGAAATTTACGATAGTCGGGATGCAAGTACATAGCACGTTAAATATGCAGTAGGAAGAACCGTTGATAGGTCGAAGGTTCTGACTAGCACTCAATATAAACACGAGCTATGAAGACAATAAAAACGCAAACGCATCTAAGGTCAAGAAAGCTTAATTCCAATAAGAAAACAAAATTAGGTAAGTACCTATATAGTTTTTAACGAAAATACAGGAGAATTTGTAAAGTAGAGGAGACCAGAAATGAAAGGAAAAAAATCGAAGAAAGAGGAAACCATTTTATAAAAAATAAAACAACGGCGCCCAATGTGGAAAATGCGAAAAATGGTGGCATGAATCCTGCTCAAATTATCTAGGGGGTAATTATGTGTGCGACTTTACCGCGTAGTCAGATTACCCTTCTGCGTCCTTACCAACATCCTACTGCTAAGAGTACGCATATGCAATAATTTGTTAATTTGATTTTGTTTATTAATAACGTTTTGATTTGCATATTTTTTACAGTAAATAAGTTAAAGAAATATGCACATTGTTATTTAAGACCTCTTCCAAGTTCCTTGTATAAACTGTTAATTAATGGACAAAAATGATTTAAGTGCGCACTCTTACAGTTCCTTCCCCTAAGTGCATAAATAATAATTTTACCCTTACCTTTTAAGGGTAGATTCGTCCTTTTATTCCTGAATCTGCATAATCTGTCTTCGTAGAAATGTTTCTTAGTTTTTGCATAGGTACTGTTCTAAAAGTTTTTCCAGCCTGTGACAAACGTAATTGCAGAAGTAATAATTCTACCCTTATCTTTGTAGGGTAGATCCGCCTTGTCGACCTCTTAATCTGCAAAACCTGTCTTGGCAGAAATGATTCTTATTTTTTGCGTGGTTTTACAGGCTGTTCGATCAAGAATTGTAGAATTGGTGATGTTATCCCTACCCTTGGGGAGTAGATTCGTCCCTTTAGCTATCTGTAAAGGGCCTATTTGCAGAAGTGGATATACCATGATTATCATAAGTGGTTGTTTACTAAAGTCCCTAATTATAAAGGAATAAGCTTATCGAATAATAACTTATAAGGGGTAGGGTATGTAGTTTGATCATTTTTGTCGTTTTGTAAAGGTATACCAAGTTACCAACGTATCTGTGTTACCGGCAAAATGCGAAATCCGGTATTTTGCAAAATCCCTAGGCATTTCGCGAAATTACCAATGCAGCCTGCCTCTTTGCCTGCGGCATCAGTCATTTCGCAAAATGCCGGATTTCGCAGTTTTCCGGTAACATCTGCATGCTAGTCGTAGTTAATTGATATTGCTTTCATTACGCGTACCTACCTAATAAGTATGTGTTTTAAACCCTTCCTTTGATGAATTCATAATTCGTGTAAGAACGATATTTTAGGGTAGTCCTTAATAACGAAAAAGTAAAATGTCAACGCAACCCCTATTTGATAAATGTGGCAAGCTGGCTGGTCAAGTAGGTATGCGCGATTCTGCACATATGGGTGCAAGAAGGGATCGTGTTAACTGTTAAGGCAGTTAACACGCGTACGCGCTCTGATCACGATCGTATAAGGGATGCTAAGTACAGCATCGGACGTATGAGTGAGTTTGGAGTAATAGCCCTTTAACGTGAGTGTCTCCCACGGGTTGGTGGTGCGAGTGTATTGTGCAGGCCATCGTGCTGGCCTTCCTTTGTTGTTTGGCTATGGTAAAACCCTTGGCAGATATCCGGATATATTCCTAGGCTTTTAGAGTTCATTATCTGCATATGACGCGCGGTCCCGCGGGTAGCTCCCGTTGATAGGATCATGGTGTCGTGTCGACGCAATACGAAACATAAAAGCCTCATTGTTAACAAAAACAGTTCGGGGGTGAGCTCGACCTGCAGGTGTGTTCGCAGGTAGGGCAATGAGCGACATAGATCGACGTTACTGATCTATTGGCTGAGGGTCCTAGTCAGAGGGCCAAGGCGGGATGTGTATCCTAAATAATACACGAGCGTGCGGCGTAACCCTTTCCCAAATAGGTATGAGCTCCATCTTAACCCTTCAGGAAGTCATCTCCAACGACCCATTCAACCCCAATTGCCAACGGGAGTATTCGGAGGTCCAGGAGAGCTTAGGACCAGCTCAGGGCTAACGCCCCCCGGTGAATTACTTAATTTATTGGCGAGGATCGCGGTAAGCAGTCGCGATATTTGTTTACATGCCCCAGACTGAATGCTGCCATGTCACCCCTTATGCGTAGATTACAGGGGCGTTTGTAATGAAAGGTGAGTTTACAGTAGATATTTGTCGCATTTTAATAATGACTTCTGACCATTCAATTAGTGACTTCCCTTGTTGTTTAATAAAATACCCTTCATTACATTCGATATCATACCTATATCATACCTATAGGCTAGGTACACTGTAGGTAATATTGCGAATCCGAACCTAAAATCTCAAGCTAACTTCAGTGACAACAAACACATTTTGATTTTAAATAATTCTTGTGGGGACATTTTGCTCCACCTTCCCCAGCCCCTTCGGGTATGAGAAAATATTACGAAAGGGAACGTGAGTTTTCCGAGATTCTGTTTGTTTACGGCATCAGTTTCGTTTTGTTAATATTTCTGAGCTTATTAATTTATTGTTTTGTGATTTTAATTGATCTCGATTTGATTTTTTCTGACTTCCGCACCCCAGGCCACTATTCACAACTCACAAGGCTCCTAGCCCCACAGGACCCTGTCCCTGCAGTTACATATAGCTTATGGGTTTACCAGATTTAAAATCTTTCAAAATTGGCGTTTGGCGGAAATGTGATTTTTATTCTGTTGTGAATATAAATAAATAACCAAAATTAATTGAGATTAATTGACGAGTTTAATGTACCCAAAGGCAAACACCTTCAGATTGAATACAAAATCCCCATGCGCGCGAACCGCGGTAGCGCGATCAGCTGTTTCTGACAGTCTCATTGAAATACTCGAACGTTAAACTTGCTGTTAACGAATTGCGATTTGTGGTACTGATAAAATTTGATAACAATGAAGTTGTATAACTTATCATTTAGATTGCCTTTATAGCTTTTAATTGTGGTATAGTTAGTTAGTGCGAGGTCAAGATTTCCATTGACTTAATAAGACCATGGCCAAGGTAAGCTATTCTTCTTAATCAGGGTCACTAAATTAATTTTGTAGGATTCCACCCTTCGTCAACGTTTCAAACCACCCCTTTTGAAGGATAACTTCAGTGACTATTCTAAGGTTAAATCCCACGACAGCAAATTCGACGAGCCTCCCTTACCCACTTCGTACTTACTGGCCCTATTAGGACTCTTGTTTGCAGTATTAATAACCGTTATAATAATTGAAAAACAATTACCGCCCGGTATCAAAATTGCAGAGGAGCATAAATATCCGGATAGATTTATATCGGAACGAGCTTACAACCTATTGAAGAATTTAACTGCCTTAGGTCCGAGAGTGGCCGGTAGTTATGCTAACGAAGTATTAGCTGTAAATCTCTTGAAGCGGGAGATCAAGACGATTATTGCAAATGCCAAAGAAAATAATGTGATTCAGTTAGATGTACAAATGGCCAGTGGAGCTTTTAATCTTGCATTTCTCGATGGAATGACAAATGTCTACAGAAACATGCAAAATATTATTGTCAGGGTGGGATCTCGGATTAACTCGCCGAACAGTTTGCTTTTAAACTGTCACTTTGATACGGTCTCACAGAGCCCCGGTAAGTACCTTCTTATTCACCTTGTTATTAATTTATCTACAGGTCAGTACAAGGTACGCTCATTACTGATTAGCATTTAAAGTGGAGCATGGCAACTTGTTAATGTGGGAGTGTGAGTTATTATTTGTTAAATGATTCATTGCTTTTCAAACTGATTTGTTCGGGGACAATGTACTCTAAATACCTGTACAAAGGATTCAAGGTTGTATTAAGTGTACCTATAGAAATATTTTTTGTCTTGCAATTGTGAAAGCGATTGCTGCACTTTTCCTTACACACAAACAAAAAATTCTTTCAAAAACAGGAAAACTAGAAATTGGTTTTTTGGAATTTTGCTTATGTGAAAGTAATAGGTACCTACTTTACCTATATCAGAGCCAAAATCAGATCCCAACAGGACTGTGCCCAGTACGCCCACTTTCTGTCTTGATAACTGCCCACTTCCCCAATGATTACACCTAAATTCGAGCCTAAATTGGCCAATATAGTATCAGAACTTCTTTGGCAAAAATCATTCAATACGTATTTCTTAATGATTTTCTTGATTTGGTCGGGAACGTCTTTATGTAGTTAAGAACAAAACAGTTAAAGAGTTTTTTATTATCATTAAAACACCAGTTATGCACATTTTATCTCGCATTTTATTGTCGAAATCCCCTAACAATATTCAAACTGATCTCGCCTTGTACATGGGCAAATTGAATATAGATCAAAGGCAGCTTTTTCCCAGGCTTTTTCAGTATAACTATCCAGCAGTACACAGAAATCTTGTAATCGCGTGGAAATCGTTCAGAGTTGTGTGGGCATCCTCTGATATCCGTATATCTTAGCTAGGAAAAGACATTTGTTAGTGAGGGAGCAAAATTAGACATCAGGGCGCATACAAGGATCAACTCATCACCAAAAATGTTATCACGTAAACCTAGACGTAAACAGTGCTAAATTATCCTTTGATGTCCATGGATGACTTAGCGACCCCATGGATAATGCCCGTGATAAAATCCCATGCAAATTCAAGAATTGGCTTCGTTTTTGAAGGATGCCTGACTTATTTTTTTAAAATATTGAACAAACAGAATGAATTGAAGTCATTTATACAATATGGCGCAAAATTAATCATCCAACATTGTGTTTGAATAGCTTTTATACTAAATTAAAAAAATGATGTTGAATGATGGAAATCTTTATTTGGATTTTTAGAATTTTTTGTGGACAACATGATATTGGTTAAGTGGCTGCCACCAATGTCAATACACATTTATACTCGTTTTATCGCATTTTCCATGACTCTCCCCATGATTTCCGGCAATAACTCTTCGCATTCCTGTCGAATATTCTCCTCTAGCGCTGCGATCGTTAGCATAGACCCACGACTTCAAATAGCTCCAAAGAAAGAAGTCTAGGGCAGTTAATTCGGGCGATCTTGTTGGCCATGCCAAATCGCCAAAACGGAAGATTAGACGACCAGCGAAACGTTTCAAAGTATCCATTGTGACTTTGTGTGCGGTTGCACCGTCTTGTTCAAACTACACCCCAAGCAGCACTCGATCCGACCGTATTGCCAACGGCGCGGCGTCCTCAAAAAAATACGGCCCAATCACTCCTCCCGCATGAACGCCGCGCGCCACACAGTGGCTTTGAATGGATGTAATGACTCTTGCATCAGACGCGAATTTTCAGTGCCCCAGAAACTAAGATTTTGCTTATTGACTCAAGTGATAATGTGCATTGTCGCTTATAATGATTTCCGCTCGGATTTTCGTGACAAAATCATCCCCTTCGTTGTTGCTGCTCTGTTCTATAATGCACGGTTTTTGTGTTATAATTATAATCACAAGTTGTGCTCTTTCAAACGGGGCGCGTCTTTTTTTAAAATGCCACTGAACACAGAATTTGGTAAAAACGGCAGTACCTACAAAAGTCGTAGTTAATTAAAAAAAAAAAAGCGCAACTTAGTGCCATAAGTTGCTTCCATTACCGTGCAACTTCACACACCCCAAAATTTCGTGATAAAAGTTCAAATTTTAAAATTTTGATAACTCGAAATTTTGCTTTAAAATTTAGTGATGAAAGTCGAAATTTTGCTTTCAAATTTCGTGATGAAAGTCGAAATTTTGCTTTAAAATTCCGTGTTAGAAGTTGAAATTTTAAAATTTCGTGATATAACTCGCATTTTGCTTTAAAATTTCATGTTAGAAGTCGAAATTTTAAATTTTCGAGAGATAACTCGAAATTTTGCTTTAAAATTTCGTGTTAGAAGTCGAAATTTTAGATTATTATTTTATTTCGTTCGTGTGTCCCTTCTAGGGCTTCGTACAAAGCTGATAACGTGATCTAATATAAAATTTTAATACAAATAACTTCGATTCCTGAGGTTTTTTAAAGAATTGTACTGATTATTCAAAATATTGAAAACTCACAAGCAGCAGATGTTACTTATAATCGAATTTTGCATTAGATTTAGGTTTTAGCCTGTGCCCCTCAATACCTATTCGCCTGCGCGATTTAGTTTCTCTGAAAAAAAATTCGAAAAGCGGTCAATTTTTGAAGAAACCAGGTTATAACAGCGTTTAAAGTTAAAGATATAAGTAGTATGTTTTTTATGTTACATAAAAAAATAAGTGATCTTCAAGTGGGTACTTTCCAATTCTTCAATAAGAGTGGGTTGTGTGTCCATTTCCATTAAAAAAAAACCTAAGTTTGTACGCCACTGGAAGTTGATCCATTTTCATTTAAAAAAACATAAGTTTGATACGCCACTGGTAACCAGAAATATTTTAGAAGTATGGTTACCGTAATTGTGCACAATAGGATTTCGACGAAATTTAGTATCCGAAATTAATGAATTCAAAATTAGTTTTTGTAATTTCAACTGCTATTACCGGAACACAAAAATGTCAAGAATTTTATCAAATTTGCTGAGTACACGCCGAGGTACACGCTGTGTGTTTAACAACAATACTGTCGAACGGCTTTTTTCGTGCGAAAAAAAGTTATAGTATCGAAATCGAACTAAGAATGTAGACTGAGGTAAGAATTTTTGATAAAGTCTTGCAACATTGGAAAGGGTATGTGTTATCGATACGGAGATACAAAAAAGCAAAGAACTAAGGAAACATTTTGGTTTTTCAGTTTTGTTTGTCCTAGATATAGCCCAATGAAACTAATAAACCAATAAATACGAGAAGTCCAAGGGAGGCGACTTTAAACAAGGAAAATACCGAGGAAAATACGCTATCGTTATTGATATTCCAATTTTTTCGGGAATGTGTTGTTGAAGGTCCCCTGATGATTGTGTAATAAAGTCCCGAGCGATTTCGGTGATGCCAGAGGGTGGGGAATGAATCATTTTTTGCCGTTGTTCTACTACCAACTGCAGGGCTAGCTGTGGGTGCAAGAATGCTGGCATATTTTGCACCATTTACTGTACCAACTGCCAAAGGGGCTGTTTTAACTCTCCACCAATCCTACCAGAAGGTGAAGGGGACGTAGACGATTCTCATGGAAAGGAATTGTACGTACAACTGAATTGGAAATTATCTTCGCTCGCGAAATTTCACTTCCTTTTTGCTGTAGATAAAGTTGAACTGTCGAAGCGTAAATACCACACATGTCAATGATTCTTGAAGGAAATTTAATTCCCTACAACTATCTACTTTTACGTTAAAAGTGAACAGGTAATGCGAGTTTTTTTGAAAATTGGTCACCTTCAAGAGCCCGTAACTGGCAAACGATGAGATTTTTGGAAAAAAGTATAGAAATAAAGTTGTAGAAAATTTCATGAGGTTTCGATTTTGATGAGAAATTTTTTTCCCACGACCCCCCATTTTCTGAATATAGCCGAAAAATCCCAAAACTGTACCTTCAACCCCCTCTCCACCCTCCGGCGGCACCGAAATCGCTTGGGACTTTATTACACAATCATCAGGAGATCTTCAACCACACATTCTCGAACAAATTGGAACTACACGAATTATTTTTAGCGCATTTTCCAAAAAGAAAATGAATGCAAGAAAATGAATGCTATTGTCCGCACTTTGTCCGTCTGTAGGTACTACTACTAGTCCTCCAGTTTAAGCTTTCTTTGTTGTGGTTTCTTTCTTATACCTACGATGTAGTACAGACCAGAGACCAGAACGAAAAGAGTTTATTTGGTTTGGTCCTGAAAACTCATGTTTGTTTTAACGCAAGCAGTAATTGATTTTTTAACTCCTTTTTTACATATACAGGTTTTTTTTCCATTTTCACTATAGGGCTCTCGCAAACCGTAAGAGATTCAAAGTTGCTTAATAAGCAAAAGTTATGCAGAATTTTATGCCGATTACTTTTCCTATTCAAAGCTTCTGGTAGCTCTACAAATAGCTAAGTTATGGGAGTTATGGCAAAAAAACCCCAAAATGTCATTTTCAATGATTTTGATTAATAAAAAATAATTTTAACAAACCCTTAGTAATTTTTCCTCAACTTTCTGATAGTGCTAAAATAAAATTTTTATGATTTGTGAGTTTCGAATAAATCACATCAACTTTCTGATTTCTTATAGACATATTTGCTCGTCACTCGGTAGAGAAAAAAATTAAAAAAGACGGCGATACCAAATACATACTTAGTGTTTCATTTGGAAATTAATCTTGAATTTTTGCCTTGAAGTTTACAATGTATTTCTCATGGCAATAGTTCCATGGCCGTGTTGGTAGTGACTATGCTGTATAATAAAGAAACGAATTTGGTTTGAATCAAAAATAATTCCAAGCAAGATATGGAATTCTTGTCATAAGAAATACATTGTAAAGCCAAAATTCAAGGTTGATTCTCAAATGAAAGTGTTTCGTATCACTGGTTTTGCTTCTTTTTTTCTATTGGGTGACATAAAAATCCAGTATGGCGTCTATAAGAAATAAGAAAGTTGCGATGTACCTCGAAACCCACAAGTCATACATTTTTAGTACCTTCAGAAAGCTGCGATAAAATTTTTCTATGATATCTTTGAAAATAAATGAACGTCAGCGCGTTCTCGAAAATGCCATTTTTCAATTTTTTTACAATAACTTCGCTATTTGTTGACCTTTTTGCATTTTAGCGACTTTGTATCACTTACGGTTTATGAGATCCCCATAGTGAAAATGAAAAAAAATTCGTCCCGTATGGTAAACCACTGTCTTGTATAATTTTATTTTAAAAAGTATAGAGCATTAACTAAGATGTAAAGAGAAAGGACCTAGATTAACCCTTGTTGCATTATTCTATGTTACCGCATATTTTAGGACTTGGGGACGTAGGTACTTCTCAAACGAAAAATTTTGAACATTCATTCTAGTAGGGAAAATGTTCTGGTTATCTCTGTAAGTCTAATGTCACTGAATTATCTTTATTTCGATTTTCCATCATCAACTTCTGTTGACACAACTAATATTATTATAGTTTTGCACGTGAAGGTGACATTCAGCATCTCTATTTTAAGGCTTTCCTTTATATAGACAAATAGACACCTGTTCGTGCAGACGTGTATGTCGATGTCTGGGTCGATGTGCACAGGTGAATTGGCTCTCACCAATGCCTTACAAAATGAATGTAAATTCCGAGGTAAATTCGTGTGTAAAAGTACTTGGAGGTTTGTTAAGGTAGGTAGCTATTGCCGACTTTGTTCATAGACAAAACAAGTTGAATTTTAATTGAAATCAATTCCAGTGTCAAGTATGACAATTAAAAGATTTAATAATTAAAATCTATTCTGAAACAAATACTTTTATGAATATGACCTAGATCATTGCACTCTTGCAACTAAGAAGCTTTTTTTTATAGGAGGAAGTGATGATGGAGCCGGCTGCGCGGTAATGATGGAGATGCTGAGGGTTCTTTCACAGTCTGAAAAAATTTTACGCCATAACATCATTTTTCTTTTCAACGGAGGCGAGGAAAACTTCATGCCGGCGTCGCACGGTTTCATTACACAACATAAATGGGCAAAAGAGGTACATTGATTTTCTATTAGTTGATAATGAGAATCTTGGCAGATTTATAGCCTGGGAATTCTATCAGGCTATAATCCTTGTCCTTGTCCATGGCGCAGAAGCTTGCAGTTGCTGAAAATAGAACGTCAATTGAAACAATTTACTTTTTGTGTTTATTATCACCAATTCTTTTTTGTAGCACATAATTATTAGGTTTTACTTTTGCCAGGTTTGATGTTCAAATGCGACCATTTAGTCTTATTTCTTATTGCATTTTTTATTAGGTATCGTATGGGTGGCACTCCCTAGGTACTGACGTTTTTAGGTCTCTCGTCTCATCAACAGCGGTCTGAAGTAATTACCGATTTCTTATACAATACAATCCTGAAAATTAGGACTTGTACGTTAATCATCTTTGGAATTACAGGACTAAAGAATTTCATTGTTTATTCACGTTTCGAGCTGATGAGTCCTCCCTAACTAAATATAAATAAAAGAATGCATGCTTTGCGTGAGATCAAAGGTAAGTCGAATCGTAAACCGTAAACGGCAGAGATGAATTTCTTGTCGTTTCGCCCGGATGTAAAGAGATCTCCTTATCGAAATTGAAAACTGCTTCAAATCTTCTATTGTCAAGGTACTTTTGGTTGATACTGGTGTACGTAGATAAAAAATTCAACTTTCCCCTACTTACGCGCGATGGTGGACTGGTATTATATTTCACGTGAATATATTTTTTGTATTTTTTTACAAAATTGGGAATGGAAACTGTTTGTCGCCGTTTAATCTTCCGACAGTAATCACACGTGTGCCACTCATCACTGCGGTCCAATGTATTTTCCTTATGCGAATTAAGGCAAACGCTCACAATGATGCACGGAATTTATTTTGTTTCTTTGTTTTTTAGATCGCGTCTTATTTATGACCTCGCCCTTAATTTAACTCACCCAAGATTGAGACCTCAATTGAGATAATCTCACTTGAATTTTCAAATTTTTTAGCACCGCAATAAACTCCCTTAATTTCCTTGAAGTTGCTCGGTGTTTTTTAACCACCCGCGCGTTAGTAAGGGAGGTATTGCAATGGGGTAAAAAATGACCCCCACTTTTTTAACGGACATACACGTTTTGAAGCACAAGGAATCCGAATCAAACAAAATCTCGATTATGTCAGTCTGTCGGCCGGTCGTCTGTAAACGGCTGAACCAAATTTGGTACACATTCTTCGATTCTTCTGAAAAGCTTTCGGGGAGAATCGCGCATGCACAAGTGTGTCAAACAAGGAAAGTGAAATTTTGCCACTTACACTACACATTTCATATACTGAACGACTTATAACTATCTATCATTGATGATGAGCTATGAGTTTTCAAAGTCGATTTCAGTTCAACGTTTCAAAAAATCATATGCGCTTCCTCTACCCGCAACGGGGGAATGGAGGACGTCTATGTATCCATCTTTTCAATTGCAACTGTTTTTTTTTGGCGTTATCAGAATGGGGTAAAAATATACGGGACTCGGGAACTTTGCATATTAGTAACATTTTGCTAGTTGAATCTAAAGCGCAGACTATATCGAAAATTTGGTACTTTTTACACATGTGGCATCAATGTAACACTCAACAGATTATCCCAAAAAAGACGCACACCACGTGAATCATTCTCGCGATTTTTTAAATTTTAATTTGTTCGGGATAAAAATGCTTAAGAAGTGCATCAAAAGTGCGCATTGGAATTACTCTCTCAAAATTGGTAAACCTCCAATGGATACAAGGCGTTCTTCCTATCGAAAAATACTCGGCGGTGCATGTTTCGCGCACTACACTACATTTACTTAATCCTACTGATAATGTGGTCCAAATCTTCCATTACTTTCAGGTCAGAGCTTTTATAAACATCGAAGCCTGCGGCGCCGGTGGGCGCGAGTTACTCTTCCAAGCCGGACCTAACCATCCTTGGATTTTGGAAACTTATTCTGAGGAAGTGCCTTATCCTTACGCTTCTTCGCTGGCCCAGGAGATTTTTCAAAGCGGCTTAATACCTGGCGATACCGACTTTCGTATATTCAGAGACTTCGGGAACGTGTCAGGTAATATATTACTCGAACGTTGTTAACATTGTCATAACCTGCGCATTCTGTAGGTTTAGACTTTGCTTGGTCGTCAAACGGCTACGTTTACCACACAAGATTTGACACGATCGATCAGATACCGTTAGGCACACTGCAAAGAACCGGTGACAACATATTGGCGCTGGCGCGAGGTATGGCGATGGGCCACCAATTAAATGACGTGGAACGTTATCGCCCCGGAAATCTGGTCTTTTTCGATTTTCTGGGCGCTTTTGTTGTGAGATGGCCCATGCATATTGCCGATTTTGTCAATATCTCCTCTGTTATTCTCAGTTTCTATTCGATTTACGAAAACATGAAAAAAGCGTATTCTACGGATGGTATGTATTTTAAATTGTATTCTTATCCTTATATTTCTTTTTCAGCAATATCAAATGGCCAATACGTAAAAAAGGTTGGAGCTTCAATAGTTGCAATATTCATCACTGGGTTAGCAGCTATACTGGTGTCGTTCGCTATAAGTTTTTGCTTAAATGCGTTGGGGCGTACTATGAGTTGGTACGCGAGGCCATTTTGGGTTTTCTTCTTGTATGTTGTTCCTGTAACGCTAGTTTTATTCGCAGCAATGTTTTTTTACGCGCGCAATTACCATCGGGTATGTATATTTTAGGGTAGATCATTTAGTTAATAGAAATTGTATGCCAGGATTTAAAATCGTCGCCATGGGTCAAATTTAGGTTATTATATGATGCCTACCTGTCAATATGGAGCTTTATGTTGATTATTGGAATCATATTCCGCATCCGTTCCAGTTTTCTGCTACTGTTTTGGACTCTCTTTCCTGCTGTAGGTTCACTGATAATGAAGTTTGTGGGAAATTGGACAGGTTTGTTAGTCACATACTCCGGATATAAACACTCTGAATATTTTTTCAGCCTTGAAATTGTTCCTATACTACGTAATTGTTATGGGACTGCCATTTGTACAAAGCATTTATTTAATGATAGGAGCATTGTACCTCTGCTTTCCTATTATGGGACGAGCTGGCGCGGCATATAATTCGGAATATTTAATTGCACTTTTAATCACTTATTTTTATTCCGTACTAATAAGCTATCTTGTTCCTCTTATTATTCTAGTAAAAAGTGTAGAAAGGGTATTCAGCTTATTACTCGGAGCATTTCTGTTGTCAATTGCGGTACTTATTCTTACTCCCCTCGGATTTCCATACTCTGGCGATCCGGCTTCTCCAGCACCACAAAGATTTATGATGGCGGTAAGTAAATGTTTACTTTTTTCTATAATATGGCTTTACATTGGTGTAATACATTATTTTAAAAAGCTACTTTGCCACTTTTCATTTTTTACAGATTTTAATATTTTTTGTTAGTGCAGTACTTACCTACCACCTATTTTTTAATCAATATTTTAGTAATAAAGTTTTTTTATCACATTAAGGGGCCTCACTACCTTAAAACAACGCAGAATTATTTTTATTAGAAAAAAAATTAAATGTAAATAGTGAGTAAACGTTAAATGCAGAATCGATACCAAATTTGTGCATTTAGAGATTGCGGGTCTATAAATTATTCCTGAAATGCTGTTTAGTCAATCGGTTTTACTTTTTTGAATTTTTTTAAACTTTTGTGGTTTGATTTTATACTGCCTAACAGTTTACTACCCTATTTTTAGCGCATTTCACAACGAAGTTGGGTGCGCTATTGTAGCCACTTTCTCTGTCCGTCCGTCCTAGGGCTTAACTACTCCTACAGTTTTCATTATATTTAGTTCGTTCTTTTTGAATTCGGTACCTTATAGTGCTTGCACCTGAACCAAGAAACATCTTGACGAAGAACGTGCATTCATAATAAATGGCTGGTCAAACAGCTGTCTGTAACAAGTAGCAATACCCCTATAGTAAAGTATAACATTAATTAATTATTACTTTCAAAACAAATGTCTAAGGTATGAGGACAGGATGATGCTACAAAAAAGTTAAGACGCAAATTGTAAGCTGGTCTATACATTGTCCAGTCGGGAACCGCGCCGCGCTTGTGGACGGCGCAACAAACTGCGTTGCTAACCCGATAAGGGAAAATGTTTGGTAAATGTTACAGTTAGGTATAGGACATGTGTTATAAAAAAAATGCATTGTGAAAAATTTAAGATAGAAAAGTAATGAAAAATTAAAAAATTCACCCCTTATAGTATGTACTCTTCTAACTAACCACTCAGACTTAATAAAGAAATTGTAGCGAATTATACCACTGTAGATACTAATTGTTTCTTAATTAAAATGTCTAATCGCATATAAAAACTTTAAAATAATTTAACAGCATGTAAAAAGAACGTTCCATGATATAAGTGGTGATGTAACCGGTCGAGAAACTGGATACTGGATAGCCGATATGGATATCAACAGCCCATACAGTGTAGAAAGATATGTTCCCGAAGTAAAGGCTGCACGATTGGTTGATGAAGATTGTGTCAAGTACCTTTATTGTGGGCTACCTTACCTGGTACCTGTACAAAACTTTATATTTAAAACACATTGGATTCCTGGCCCACCGGTTACAATTAAAGAGACTAGTAGTCTCACACTAGTAAAGAGAGAGAAAATTTCCCATGGCGAAAGGGTTACAGTATCAATTACAGGTATTTCAGAAACTGTAGGCTTTTTGCTAAATTGTGAGTTGTAGGACCATTCCATATGGGAATAATGGTTTCTCCAGTGCTAGGCGTTACACTTGAACGTTGGAGCTTAGTGAACGAGAAGCCACTAGCTGCGGCGCCTCTTTGGAATGGCAGATTCACGTACTTCATATATTATTGTTATGCGGGTGATTCGGTCCCACTCGTGTTTTCCATGGATTTTCAAGTAACCAATCTCATTTATCACTTCGATTCTCATTTCGCTTTCCAGGTTCCAGGCAATCATTCGGGAGCAATAATGGACTTTGGTATAATTTCACATTACCAATTTGAGCAGGTCTCCCCCGTATTTGACAATATGATTAAGAGGTTCCCTCCTTGGACCGCTATGACGTATTGGACATCGACAGTCGAAACGTGGATTTTCTAAGTATGCGCAATTACACATAAACTTTCTAGTCTTTTATGGTGTCTTGTTTGAGTATAATGCGGTGAAAACAGCTGTGCTGTGGTTTGGTTTTAAAAGTATTATCATAATTTTAAACTATTTTATATTTTCATTGTTTACCTCTTTGGGGAGTGTAAGATATTTCCATTAGAAATTTAGTTCTACTTAACTACTTAAAACATTACAGTTAATGACTAATAGTAAGAGTTTTGAACGTTCCAAATTAACCTTATAATCATAATACATTACATAGTGTATGCTATAGATATGATTTACAAAGAATGAATAGATTGTTTTTTAGTGAGATTAGAAAGAGTTACCTACCTAAGCATATTGCTCATATTAGAGTGAAATTTTAAATAGAACTGATAGAGAAAATAGACTTAAAGAACATTTATACTGCTTGAAGTGTCATTTCTTGTATATATAGTTCTTTGGTTTGCTTTAAGAAGTTTTTCGAACAATTTTTTCTATACTAGAACTGTAAGCTACATATCATAAAAATGCCTCTTTGTTGTTAATATGTTACCCAAATTTTGAATTATACTTAAATCACGGGAGGTACATTTTCAACTACTGTACATACGTGGTATCTTTAGTACCATAACTAACTTTGTGATATGAAACACCATTAACACACTAGGATCAATTACATTAATGTTTTAAATTTTTTTAAAGTTGGTACAGTTTAAGAAATTTGTTAAATTGTTGTGTTACCTTTGCTCTAATTGATATACACCTATTTTTGATGTGACAACTAGTTTTTAACAATTGCAAGTTTTTCTCGCGAATATCCTTTGTTGAAAATTTACAAACATTGTTGCAATAAAATACTTTAAAAATATACTTGCTATAATTTTGCTGTTCTAGATGTGGAAAATTAAACAAACCCCTTCCAGGGTCTTATATGTATGTACCTACTTTTCAGAGCAATCGAATTTTTGTGATGGATTCTCACATGGAGGACCCAAAAAGGTAAAAGGCCAATCCAATAAATTGGACCACCACATCAAGATGAAAAACAAAAAATAAAACGATATCTTTAAGTGCTTCTAAAAGTGACCTAACTAGACTGATCATGGATTTTGGTTTGTTAAAATTTTTCTTGGACCACCACATCGTGAGTTACACCTAAAAAAACGGTTTCATAAGTGTCTAAGATTGGGAAAATGACTCGTCTCAGATCGACGAATCCAGAATGGCTTGACTGGATAGCTACATGCAAAGATGTAGGCAAAAAGAACCTTTTTCTACAGATCCATCTACCAAGAAAAAAATGCTTACAGTAGCCTAGTTCCACTTAATGGCCCATATGAATAAAAGGGAGCAGACGTTTACCTTAAACATTATAAAACGGTATACGGCTAAAAAAAAGGACGAAGTTGCTAAAGATACAAAATCTGAACAGCTGTAAATAAGTTGGCATGCACAAAACCAAATTTTGAAACTGGCGTTAAATTTGCTTTTATTCTAGGTGCCTATGTATCAAATGTCGGTTAAAAGTTTTAGTAAATAACAAAGTTTCATTTACATTCGTAGTGTTTACATAATTATTGTTTCATTCATAAATATAAACCAAATTTTTGACATTACGCATGCGGCATGCGCATAACCAATCCTAGTGGTACGCACGGAATCCTTGCGCCAAGTCCTTTCAAAGGAGCCGCATATCGCCCAAATCGATTTAGTCGTGCAGAAGAAGTACGTGTGACGGCCGACAAAGTGTAGCCAATAGCGATTTTTCACTTTGAGGAAAATACGCCAAAAATTAGAGCGCATCCAGAGACACTTTTCACCTGATAACCTTTGCTGCAATCCATTTAATTGTTATCTAACGGTTAATTAGCTGCCTCATGAAGCTGAAATAATAAATATTAAATCGGCGACTCTTCCCATGCCATGGGCCGTCGGATGCTACACAACTAATTGTTTCATTTCAGGGCATTATTTTTTTTCCAGTAGCTTGTAAGACATTAACTTCCCATGTTTGAAAATTGCAGATGTTCTGTCTCCACCAATAACAGCGTTAACAAAAAGGACAACGTGCTTCATATGTCCGATTTTGTTTGGGATTTCTGTGTTGTACAGTTTTGACGATTGGTTAGACAATTCAGGATGCACCATATAGATTGAATGATTATGAGATGCTATGAGCATTGCCAACTAAAATTACAAGAGAAGTCTAGACGTTCTCGAGTACTGTTTACACCAAAAGCACGTCCGTGTCGTCCTCCGCCTGATCCGCTGGTATACCCGTATTGGTGTGGTGCGACTTCAGCAAGGCCTTGTTGACGTTACTTATGAAGTCCGCATGGGTCACACTCGCTGTGCAATCTATGAAGAAAATGAGATCAATGCATGCTCTATTTGTGGCCCTCATCTCCTGCTCCTGTATTTTAGTGCGTGGACGGTCACTGCTGTACCCGTCAAACTACGAGTACATCACTGTTGAGACACAACTCGCCGCCGCCTATTCGCCTTGAAGAGATGAAAGACGGGGCTAATTTTTTCGTGTAAATTACAGAACAAATCTTAACATTTAAGAAAAGACAGATAACTGCCAATAAAAAGCAAACTTTTATAGGTAAAATGGCATCAAAACAAATGAATTTAAAAATCTCCTTGTAGCATATAGTCACAAAAAAACAATAGTAAACCATAAACCTCTAAAATCTTAGTGTGATACAAATTGAGATTATTTCGATGTAGCATCCTCGGAAAACAGAAGATTGATTAGAGCTGAAAAGAAAAAAAGATTAGAAGCTGAAAAGGAAAGATTAATTAGAGCTGAAACAGAACTATATTTGCGTTTTCTAATCGATGTTTAGTTATGCATATTCATCACAATGACTAATGAACACTGACCTATGTAATTAGTGAAATTACTTTTTTACTTTAAACAGTTTGGTTGGGCAAGTAAGTTCTGCGATCGTTGTCTATTCGGTATCATTTCATTGCAATAAGTATTATGCAACCCAACAGCGTCAGTTAGAAAGATATGGAGTACCTTTGAAAATGAAACTAAACTGAAGTCTCCTAAGGGTTTTGGCACGTGATTCCTGAAGAATAGCAGTCGGCAACGCAACCACCGCGCCGCCGGCTTCGGTGAGAGGCTAAAGTCTAATGCTTTGAATATTAGTGAGGGTGTTAGTCCGTGAATGAATTTAATGTTTTAGGCTTTAGACTATTTTCTAAATATAAACGTGGAAAAAGTTACAAAAAGGGAAGTGTTGTCTATTTCTGATAGAGTGTTTGATGCTATCGGGTTTACTGTCGAAGTTACGTTACTACCAAAACTTCTTCTTCGTAGAATGTGGGAGAAAAGTAGGATGAGATTGGAAGTTGATATAAGAAATGAATTTCTGAATGGGTTGAAAGATTTCCGTTCTTAATCGGAAATAAAATTAAAACTATGCTTTGTTCCCTTTGGCATAGAAGAATGGCTTAATATATCTCTTTATACTTTTTGGTGATGTTTCACAATTATCTTATGCAGTAGCATCTTTCTTAAGAGAACTCCAGTTTAAAAAAATGAATATTTCTAGACTTGAATTAGTTGTTACTACTGTAGAATGTCGTTCAGCTAAATCAGTATCGGACTGATTTTAGTAATAATTAAGTTAATTTCAATTTTTGGTCTGATTCATCTACACTTTTGGCGTGGATAAATCGTCAGGATAATTCTAAAGAACAGTGGAGGGATGTGCCAGGTAACATGAATCCAGGTCATCTACCTTCCCGGGGATGCTCTGTAAAAACATTGCGAAATCAAGATGGTGGGAGAGTGGTTAAAACTTCCCCACTTATTGTCATCTTGATTTATTCCAATTGGTATTATCGTGTCTTTAGCAAATTCACTAAATTGTTCGAATGATAGCGTGGATAATACGTTTTGTTTTTAAGGTGGCGTTTACATTGAAAAATTGGAAATTTGTTTCCACAATAACTTCCTTCTGGGTATAAAGTTTTGGTTGAAATAACATTCATTCAAATATATAATGTTCCGACATTTGCACGAAACAAAAATTATTTAGCTAATTCCTCTGTACTTTCGCCGTTATTTAGAAAAGAAGTTCTTAAAAAATTATCAAAGTCCTCGTTTGAGATCGAAGGGACTTCAGCGCATTTTTGTGTGGCAGATCAGTATTCTATTAGCCACTTTCGACTCAACCATCAATAACAGATCTTGTCGAAGGCTACTACATTCACTAACCGCTTCCCACTTTCCGCGTGCACCCGCAATTCGCTTTTAAAGTTTTGACTCCACCATCAGTAAGATCGTGTCGGGGGCTACCACATTCCCTTTGACGGTACCCCCTTCCGACGTCCCGTTTACCCGCAATTCGCGTTTGAAGATTTGACTCCACCATCAGTGAGATCGTGTCGCGGGCTACCACATTCTCTTTTACGGTACCCACTTCCGACGTCCCGTTCACTCGCAATTCACTTTTATTGGCGACACGAGAAAGAGAGACAGCGATTCGAGATTCACGAAACGTTAAACCGCGTGAGTTCGCAACGGAAGGTAAAAGGCGCCTGACTACTTCTCGAAGACGTGCGCGCGCCTCGCAAAAGGTCGTTAATTTCGCCCCTATGACAAAAAACAAAATTCCGCCACGCAGGAGTTGTGCGCGTTTACAACATCTTTCCGACGACACCAATTTCAAAAGAATCGGACCAAAACTGTAGTAGAAGATAGGAAAAAACTGAAAAACTTCACGTTAGTATACTACGCTCGAGGATGACGCCCAGATGTCGCCAACCCCACATCATGTAGCCATGTCCCTAAGGTTGACAAATTTCACGGCCTTGTAGATACACGTACACCCGTTGCCTTCCTACAAGAGTTCTTCTACGCGCCCACATTAGCATCCAGCCAGCCAGCCAAAGTGAGGTTAAAAGCTACTTTTTAGCGCATTTTTGCAAAAATTTTTTTTGTAAAAAGTAGCTTTTAATCTCACTTTGGCTGGCTGGCTGGCTGGCTGGTCGGCTGGCTGGCTGGCTGGCAGTAAATGCGCGCCCGTAGAAAAACGCTTGTAAAAAGACAAGGAGTGTACATGTAACTATCGGGGCCGTGTAATTAAGAACGTTAGGGATGGGGCTACAAGATTTGGAGTCGACGACATCTGGACGCCATCCCCGAGCGTATTATACTAACCTGGAGATTTTTCAGTTTTTATCTATCTTCTTCTACAGTTTT